ACATGGTTAACTGATAAACAACTAAAATACCTTTGTGAAGAGATATAATGTGTCTGGGGCTTCATTTCAGAACTTATTTATCTGCTTTGCTGTAAAAGTCTTGGATTTTTTCCCTTTATATCCTTGTGAGTTTCGTTTCAAAAATGAAATCAGCTTGCTATATTTAGTTATGTCAACTTTGTTGTAAATATTGAGTGTACTTTTAATCATGGAGTATTTAACTCACATACTTGACACTTTATATTTTTCAGATAACTCTTGAAAGTACGCTAACAACACATTTTCAGAAAATGATGTAGCATTTTTATTCATTTTTCATTCCATTATTTTGTGGTAACATTTATTATAGTTGCTCCTAGATTTCGCCGGCAACAGGTTCATGGTCATGTTTGACGCAGCTTCCAGAATGTCTGGTGGTGTACAATCACCACTATCCCCGCTTTCAGACATGTTTTTACACAAAAACTTATGTATTTTACAAACAAAACCAAACTTTGTTTAAATATTGAAAAAAAAATTTAAATGTCAAATGTTGGCGCCAAGGTGCAAACATCGATTGAGCATGCGTGTTGTGTTCATCAGAGTTCATGGTCCAGCTTAGAGATGGGAAAAAACCGGGTATTTATGTGGGAAAAAACCCAATAGACGGGTATTTTCATTATTAAACATAATTATCACGATCTGAAAAAAAAAATTGTGTGTGTCAGCTGCGACGCACGACTGGAGTTTACATATAATTATTTTTTTATTTAAAATATAATATTATCTTAATAGTTAACAAAAATGGTTATAAAAAGATAATTATGTCACTAAATCTTTTACGTACAATAATAAATAGTACATGAAAATAAGACACATGGACATTCGTAGATACGTGGTTCACGAATCTTGAAAATACCGCATCAATGGTTGTACCATACCTCGTTGTCCCCATTGCTCTATCAGAAACAATATCTAAAGTCAGTTCAGATTTAAAAAAAAATATTAATGTCAATCCGTCATCTTTGTTTGTCAAAGTTGCGCGACATAGGATGCGCACCAAAAACGTAACGAGGTCATTCATCGATAGATTTTACTCCTCACATTTTTCTCATACCGGGCCCCTTATATATGCAAACCCATTCTTAAGGAGTAAACTCCAAAATTTTATTTTTTATTTTTAGAACAAATGTAGCGAAAAATAGGTACTTTGCAGTGGCGAAGCCTCCTTAGAACACAATTCCTGCTGCTTACCTTGTCAGACTCCGCAGGCAGGCATCATCAGGCATACTCTATACACGTAACCCAACAATCTCACGAAGTTTCATAGAAACATTCAATTTCACCCTATATTTACATTCAAGCACAAGCGAACATTGACGTATACGTTAATGCAAGGGACATAATTACATTGCGCGCTTTGTAAAAAATATTCTTTAATATGCTGGATACAAAATACGCAATGCATTTGATATCACGCATACGCACACAGATCCGCGCCGTAGTAGGCTGGATAAGCCGCTTATCATATTGGGACTTCAAATAAATAAAATGTAAACACTTCACGCACAAATACACATTACTACCACATGCAACCAATCGTCGATATAACAGCGATATAACCCGATCTTAGATAGCCTGCAATCTTTATTTGTCATGTGTTAAGGCTCCGTTTAGCTTGAAGTTTTCGGCCAATCGCAGACACCTGGCGCTCGGCTCTGTTGACCTGACGTAGTGAGGCCATTATTTGGCGCGCATTCGCATGGACGGATTCGAATGCTAATTTATCTATTGTGATAAGTGATTAGCTTGATTGTGGTATATATGTAGTTTAACAGAATCGAAAGTAGTGAAATTTTACTTGCCAAGTGTTGCGTATAGTGTTTGTTTTATTTCACCGTAAAGGTTTGTTTGCTTTTTTTTGTTTCTTGCCGTCACGTAGGAGTGGTGGCATTAGTACAAATAGATTGTTGTCTCACAGATTTCCTATTAAATGAGTTAACTTCATTCTCAAAACATTCATTCGAAAATAAAACGTGGCCATGGCCTTCGGCTCTGTCTACCCCGTAAATCCCTTACTGACGTGATACTATGTACGTAGAATAGAAATAAATTAGCGGTATTTCTGCTGGTTATTATTTGTGATGATGCTGCTGGCAAGTTTCCCTTATTTTGGTTCTTTGTTTTTCTATATATTTATTTACAATCTGTGTATGAGTGACGTGTGCTTTATATGGTTTTTTTAACGCCACTTTTATCATAATCGACATGGACTGTTCATATAATACCAGTGATGACATCATCGTATGGTGAAGGTGGTGAGCACTAACAACTATACAACAAGCATGAAAAAACTGCATGCAACGCAAGCACCATACCTAACATTTCGTAGTAGTTTTGGGCAACAAAATCCCAGTCGTCAATTAAACCAACATATTAACACAAGTGCGCACAGTACGAAGCCAAAATAACGTGTAAGATAGATAGATCCCCAACGCGTACGCCACTACGCCACTGCTACTACCTGCCCCCCCGATCACATCGATTATGTTGTATTTCCCTATAGAAATAGATGGGACCTAGTTTCTAAGTTACATTATCGAAATACTTATAGGGGTAGAATGATTGAAGGGGTGATTTACCTTTAAAACTTGATATTATTTGCTACGAATTTAGCAAGAGATTTTTGAGCTGATTAATAAAGACGGAGTCCATTAAGTATGTACCTACTAGCGAATAATAGGTTATTTCTCATTATGTTAAGTAACTCTTTATTAACAGGAAGTAATATCGTTAAAATAAACTTTGAAAACAGTGTAATTCTGAGTTTTTCATGAAATTTTAATAATCATAAATACCTATGATCAAAATCTAAAGAAAAGTTTTACTAGAAAAAATCCATGCGGACCAGGCAGCGGACGGGTCTTTTTTCTAGTAAAACTTTTCCTTAGATTTAAACATCTAGCATTTATATGCTTAAAAAAATTAAAACATACGTATATGATCATTTATTTTCATAATTTAATTCACATTTCATTAAAACATACGTAAGTATATGATCATTTATTTTCATAATTTAATTCATTCATAATAAAATCACAGATTACATAATAGTACGCCTGAATATATATCCTTACACTCCTAGTTCTACCCTCAACTTGTCTCTCAAAAAAAAATCCAACACCAATTAGCCTAGCCCTAAAGTAGCCACTGTAGGCTTGTGTTATGGGATACTAGGGTAACGGATATAGTACATATACATTTATAAGTATATTTACATAGATAACTGCATCCTATCAGGTAGAATTACAAGTTAAGATTTTTGGTTATGAAGTAACCAAAACCTTTGAATTCGGAAAATTCGGTTAGATCATAATATTTATTCAATTTTATTGTGTGGTCTTTTGGAATGTTAGTTTCTCACAATACAGTAAGGTCTATTAGTACTATATGTTTGATGAGCCTAGAAAAGAGGAATATTTCCGGCCTGGATGACGAATTCTCTGGTACTTTATAGTGATTTTCATAATAAGTATTAGAAAACTAAAAAAAATATTATAATAAAATCTGTAAATTGGTTCTAAGGATATGGAGCGATCAAGGGAAATAGGTAGTCATTTATATACAGGCACAAAACTTGAAGGTTACCTTTAATACTGAAGATAGAAAATTTTACTGATGAAATTTTATTTTATTTTAAAATCTTTCTTTATTTCCTTTTTTACATTTAAATTCTCCTGACAGAATCGAAACCGCTGGATGGAAAAAAATCTAGTTTTACTGGTACCTATACTTTTTCATACCCTGGACGTAGGGTATTTAGGAATTTAAAAAGTCCTGACAAACATCTGGCCATTTTGAAAATAGTCCGGACTTTTTAGTCGCGCAAACACTACCTCCTCACTTCTCACTTAGTTACAATGGTATGGTATTGAAATCAATATGTACTTTTATTATTCATATTCAATGTAATTTAAAAATCCGGACAATGTCTGGACTATACTCTAAAAGTCCGGACATGTACGGACTAATCCGGACGGATGGTAACCCTACCTGGATAACATTATATTTAAATTTATTACAAAAGCAGCCTAAAAAATATTTGGCCAGCATACAAAGACTTTAGCAGTAATAAAAATCAGGTTGCAATTCTTGTTCTGTAAACAATCATGAGAATGAATGAGTATTTTAAACATAATCAGGCAGTTTTTTTTAATATGAATCTGCAAAACAAACAGTCACACCGCAAAACAATTATTTGGGCAGCTTGATTATAGAATTGGCAGCAGAGAAATCATTTCTTTAAGCAGTGTATTTGCTTGATTTGCATATTTAAATATAAGTTTGCGTTGCAATTGAGTTTTTATTGAAAAACCTTCTTACCATAGAAAGAAAGATAAAGAGATTCTTTCTCTTATTACCATAGAGTCCATATTAAATATAAAAATCACTAGGTTAGGTTATCAAAACTTATTTATATCACATACGTTATCCAACAAAGTTTTGATGAAGTGAGGGTTGTTTATCTTTGAAAATAATATGTGTTTGATATGGTGGGGGAGGGGTGTAGGGGGTAGGCGGTAGACCCCTCCCCTCTGCTGCTACCGCCCCCTTAATCGACACACCTTAATCTATATTATTACCCCTTTATAAAATATTTTTTCTAGAATTATAGTAGTGGTACACAAAATTTGATTTTAAATGGTTCACTATTGAGTGAACCATTTAAAATCAAATTATATAGAAAATATTATAAAGCTGCCAATGCAGCTTTTATATATTTTCTTCAGTATAGTACTGCTGTTCAGAATTAGATATGTAGGTGTAGGAGAGATGTAGGTGTGGGTGTGACGCAGCTAGAACAACGTCTTTATAGCTGTGCCACCAAAATTCTCTTAAAAGCTGAGGTGACAAAATCAAGTCCTTTATGATTATAATGTTCAATAAGGTGTACTTGTGGTGTAAACTTGTAAGTATTTTGTAAATAAGTGCTAATGTGTGATTTCATGCTGATCTTTTAGGTGGAGCCGTTTGACGGTCTACCACAACTTCTATGCAAGAAATGCAAAACACTTTTAGATGATTATTCGTCCAATAAGAAAAAGTTTATTGAGAGACAGGAGAATTTAATCACAAAATTAAAAATTAATCAGGTATGTATAATTCAAGTAGATTAAACGACGCTGCGTAAAAAAAATACAGCTTTAGAATTGGGCTTACTACAAAACAGGGACTAGATTTAGTCTCTGTTTAAACCTGATGTTGTCTTTGTCTTCTTTTTAGCTAACAAAAGTGACAGCATCACTTTTAGTCCAGCTGTAACTTTAGTCTACGTTTTGTAGTAAGGCTGATTTTGATTATGAGACTTCTTCATATTAGCCGTACGACACCGACTGTTGAGCATTAGGGCTTTCCCATGGATTTTCACACCGATCGGTCCTGTGCTACTCGCATTCATCGGCTACCCGCGATCTTCATACGTTGTCGGTCCACCTCGTGTTACTCACAGACCATCGTCCGGTACGCGGTCGCCATTCAAGAACCTTTCCGCCCCAATGCCACTTATTGCTATGCTATACTTTCAGCAGAGAAAAACCTTTTCGTTTACTTTAGTTCTCCTTCAAATTTCCTAATTTCTGGTGAGAGCGCTGAGAAATACCGCTCGAGGCTCGCGGTCTGCCTCCTCATGAGACCCGAAGTGAAAGACCACGTTTTGCTTCCGTGGGACATCGGTATCACCACTAGCAACACACACTAGTCAACGATGTTTGTCTTGTGAGACGCTGTGGTAGTGTAGACGTGAATATTTTACGTAATTCCCCAAACCCTGCTCATTATAGCTGGAATCGTCGAGAGATCTCATTTTCAAAGTTGGTTATGGTATTTTATAATATAGCGTTTTTGTTAGTTTACAATATGAGTGGTATTTCTAGCGGAAGTTAATCCATTATTTTGGTCTTTTTGACGTTATGCGCTTCAGTGCAAACCGCGCAACATCTAAAGAACTATATTCCTAAACTTGCTACTTACTATAATAAGACTTGCACAAAGGGTTTTAATTTATATATTTGAAAAATCAAAGGATGTAATAAAATTTAAAGGATGGGGATGATTCAAAGAGCTTTTAATAAGTCAACTTGAATAAAGATTATTTTTAATTAATTTCACTCTGATATTTCTCATGTTAATATTTTCCGGATAGGATAAAAGACGGACAAAATTATAATTGTCCAAATCCAATGTCAAAATAAATCATAACAATTGGAAGCCATAGTTGAACGCAAACAAAGCATAGCATTGCGGACATAGTTTTTAAGGCCTATTCCATAATGATCACCTTGGTCATCTTAAGTGATTCTTAAGTGTCCTTGGAACACCCGCCAATACAATGACCTGGGTGTTCATAAGCGACCCCAAAAAAATATTATTTTGGTATCCTCAAATCACCTTCAAATAAATTTCACTTACGCAATTTGAGAATTAAAGAATGCTCAATTAATACGTATTTAATTTGCTCATTTTTATTCGAAAATAAAATTATAAATCTGGTCAAAGAAAAGATGGCGTGACTTCGGATGCTAATGATTTTATTGACCATGCTACCCTTGCAAAGGCCTGAACATGAAATGGTGCAATGCACAATCTTCTCATATCTAGCACCTTTAAGTCCAGGGCTTCTAGCCGTGATAGTTTTATTGAACTTATCACACTTACTCATTATGAAGGTAGCACGGACCTAAAAAAAAGACGGACGTAACCTCGTCTAATCACGAGTGAAGCATGCAAATGGCCGCCCGTTTACCATGTGTGCGTGATTTGAGGGTGGTCATATAAGTCATCCATTTCCCTATTTTTTAAATGTCTCAAACTAAAATATTGTTAACACTATGTAGGTAATCCCGTTATTGTAATATGTATTTATTACAATAACGGGATATTTACCATGTTTTTATTAGATGTGAGCTCCGATATTTCAGCAATTTAAACGGGTGCACTTTAGAAACATAATGTTGGCCTATCAAACATCATTTTTATGACGACCGTTAGAAAAATGAAAACACTTGCTAGGTATAAAGTAATTTATCATTTACATAAAAATTAAGTAACTGGTTAATATTACACATTAATATACCTAAATCGCGCAGATTAATGCTTAAAATAAAAATATAATAGACTAATATTATTATTTCTTCTTTTAAATGTAAGTGTTTCATTCATACATTTAGTAGGTATTTAAAGACTGACAGAGTGAGGAAAAGAGATATGTCGACATGGGGACAGGAACTTCAGAAAACTGTCAAACCCTTGCTTCTGAAGCATTCGTATTCTTAATACACGGTATCAATTAGCATTTTAAATTACCTCTGGGATATTTACTGGTAAGTGCAGAGCAGAAATTTAATTAAATTTATATATGTCTTTTAAAATGTTATGATGCAGGCTTAAAGTCGCATGCTTAACATTCGATATACAAAAACAGAACACAGTAATACAGGCCAACTAGGTCCCTGCCTCAGCTTAATACTACAGCAACACCAGGGCTGCTGCAGCGCTGATAATTCTGGCAGGGGTTGACGAGACATTTTTAATTTAATAATAAAACAGAAGATTAGAACCATACCAATCAGCATGACAAAAAAAAGCCTTAAAACAAGAGAAATGAATTTATTAAAAAATTAAATAAAAATGAAGTAAGATTTATCTATGACAAACTAGAACTTACAAAAACCAAAACTAAAACCAAACAATAAAAAAACACAAAGAAATAATTAGTTACAATCAGTTGCTAACCACAAAAAAGTTTGCTACATATTTACATATACATAAACAACAAAGAATTCACAGCGAGAACATACTATTTTATAAAACATATAAAATATTCTATGAATAATATGGCTTCTATTCTTTTCCTTTTGGGATAAGGAACCCTAAAAAGTTACGAAATCTGACCTTACCTAGTCACAAATGCAAGAAATACAAAATTCCCTACTTTTAGGGAAAATTTTCCGTAAATAAAGTAGCCATACAGTTGTATTTTTGTTTACAATTTTTATCCCAGTAAATAAAATATAATATGGAATAAATATCAAGAATTGTCAATACTTACGCATGGTAGGTAATTCCTTGTGACTTTTTAAATTTATTCGTGTAGTTTTTACAGGATTTCACCACACAAGACGGCATTTTTAATTATTTTTATCAGAGCAATTGAATGTGTGACTGCCGCTGTCACGCGGGGTCAAATGGCAGCGTTTTGTCCGACCTGGTGCATTAGTGTGAGTGTAGGTAGTGTGCAACAAACGATTTTGTCTGACCTTGCATGCTTCACATGATTTGCCTTTGATGTTACGTCCGTCTTTTTTTAGGTCCGTGGAAGGTAGATATAAATTTCTCGCAAATTAACGGATGTGTGACTTAGATGAGTGACGAGTGAAGACTGAAGTTTTCGTTAGCGAATTCTTCTCGCATTTGTTGGTTTTTGTTTCTTGATTTACATACTTACTTACTATGATGACGCAGCGACCCGATATGACAAACAAAGATGACGGATTGACATTAATAAAATTATTAAAATCTGAACTGAATTTAGATATTGTTTCTGATAGAGCAATGGGGACAACAAGGTATGAGGTACAGCCATTGATGCGGTATTTTCAAGATTCGTGAACCACGTATCTACGAACGTCCATGTGTCTTATTTTAGTTACCATAAACCCAGATATGGGTCTTGACCTCAGATAATCAGAAACGCTACCTCGGTCTGTCATGCGCCACCTCTCCTCAATTCTTCACCTGGAGTTCGCGCAAATTGAACATGACTAGGTCCAGCCAGCGGTAACATGGCCGTCCCACAGGGCATCGGCCACTCCATTGCCCCAGGAATACACACTTGACTGCTCGATCATTCCCCATTCTCCCTAAATGACCGATTGACTTGATTTATATAATATTCCAATATAATATGAGTATTTTATTCATTTTTCAGGTAGAGGTGACAGATGCAGAAATTGCAGATACTGTGCATTCCAATAAAAGTAGATCGAGGTCGAGATCTAGCTCCGTCAATAAAATTTCGGTAAGTGATTTCCCTGTATGTACAATCAGTCAATTTGATTCCTGCTGACCCACCTTATAAGCTTATTTTGTTACAACCATTTCTAAGCAATGGGTTAGATTTCTGCTTAAATGTACGTATCCTGGAATCAGACTCGCTATTTTCTGAACCAATCATATTTGACGTGACAGATTCAGCCACCTTCCTGTGACATACTTTTGACATTAAATTATATGGAGATTTGCACATTTAAGATTTTCAAAATGTGATTTTGAAATTCAAATTACTACTCCAATTTATCTATTAGGTCTTTAACTTAAGGCTATATATTATCAGTCTATCACCTACGGGGAACAAGCAGTGAACAGGGGTCAAAAAGTATGTGCATATAACTAACTCCACGCGTACGAAGTCGCGGGCGGCCGCTAGTGTATTTATGTATGTGTACAATACAATAATGACAATTTGACATTATTGTATGGTTGTACTTGAATTGAGATTTAGCGAAATTGCTGCAAGTGGACCTAAGACACGGGTTCTAGACGTCATTATTCTAAGATTATAATGTTCTAAGTTAAAGTTTGGTCAATGAGGTTCCCTTGCAGCATTTTTGCTAAACCTCAATTTAAGTAAAACTAGATTTGGCCAATACAGTATTGTCAAATTGACATTGAAGTTTTGCCACTTTTCTTTTTTGTTTCACTTCAGGTGGACCTTAAGTATATTTTGCTTTACTAAACAATTATTTATTTTGTTTTTATGCTTTCAGGAAGATATACGCCCCCGTTCGCCATCGATACAATCTGCAAATGAAAAAGTATTTGATTCTGATGATAACATAAAACTATCAGTAAGCAGTTGTAATAAAAGAAGAACACGTTTGTTATCTAATAGTTCTGTGGACAGTGAAAGGTATTTCGCTCCAAAGAAGAACACACACAAAAATTTAAGTAAATCTTCAAAATGGAAAAAGAAATACAACAAAAAGTTTATTTGTAATATTTGCCCAAAATCATATAAAAGCAAAACTAAAATGGTGAGACATTTGGATGATCATTCTAATATTAAATCTCAATACCCATTTATATTAAATAAACCCTGTAAGGTGACATTATACAAGTTTGATGAAAAACCAAATAGTACGAATCTAGATAATACAGTCGTTTATGATCATGAAAAAATTTTACAAGATGCTGGAAATCCACTATATCATGTATTGTATACTGCTCGAAACAATTGTTCAAAAAAAACATCAAAGCGACAGTATTTAGTAAGTTCAGATGATGACTTTTCATATAATAAAAAAAACAGGAGAACATCGAGAAGAAGTTCAAATGAAACAGTTCTTCTTGGGGACAACTATAAAATAACAGAAAGCTCTGTTGGCGAATCTCCAGGATCCCATAAGAAAACTCCAGAAATTAAAAATGCTGTAGAAACAGTGTGTATTGATGATTCCGATAGTAATACAGAATTAGAGAAAAACAAAAATTTAAAAGAAAACACTGATATAAAAGTAGAGTTTAAAAGTATCGAAAATATAATAACAAACTGTCGAATAAAATATATGAATAAGTTCCAAAATGGAAGTATTAACTCGTCCAAAAAAGTGTCTTCAGAAAACCACTTAAAACATAAAATTTTGAGTATAGGCAGGAAAATTATACACAAAGACGGACAGTTTAATTGTACTGGATTGCTGAGATACATGGAACACAAAAATCTTGAAGTAATGTGGATACCTAAAGTTCTGGATATTAACTCACGAGAAAATTTAGTTCGAATAATGCCTAAGTTAAAATCTGCTAGTAATACTGATATCACGAGTGATAAACATAGATGGATAACTTTAACTCAAGTGGAAAGCAATAAAACGACAAGCACAATTAGTATACCTACCGCTTCTAGTGTAAACGAGTCTTTTAATAACTCAAGTATTTGTGAGGTAGTACCATCTGCAATTTTATCTAAATCTCAAGCACCTGTTGCTACTACAGAAATGTTAAATTCATCAAAATCATCACACCCGGATAAAAGAAATATCAAGTCTGCAGTACTATATACAGATTTTAATACCACCGAGACAGATATTAATTCTAAAAGAATTTTGAATCAGAGCCCAGTTGCTAACCCCAAACAATTACCAAAAAAAAATTCTAATACCACCGAGTCAAAATTAGTGGGCTTTAGCACCAAGAATATGACTGAGATGGTTACTAATCAGTCTAGTAACATAGACTTTAGGGAAGAGATCAGCGAATCTAGTTTAAGTATGCCAATAATAACATCCACGACGTCATTAGCACCACTATCCGAAAATAGAAAAATGGCGGAAAAAGAACCAAAAGTTGCATTAGTTTCAGATAAAAGTGTTCCCAGAATTAAGGTAAAACCAGTGTCAGAGTTGATGAATCCATCTACATCAAATGACAATCAAAACGGATTGTGGGCTATGAACAGATTTCATAATCAAGCAATACCCGCTCCAAATGTTACTATGGGGAATATACTTGAAAACCGAGCAGTACCCGCTCCAAATGTTACTATAGGAAATATACTTGACAATCGAACAATACCTGCTCCAAATGTTACTATAGGAAATATACTTAACAACCGAGCAATACCTACTCCAAATGTTACTATAGGGAATATACTGGAGAACCGACCAATACCTACTTCTGTAGGGAATGTTTATTTGCAGATATTACCGCAAATTCAAAGCGTGCAATCAGTTCAACCACCGGCGGTTGACCAAAACGCTATTATGCCTCTTAGTGTGAACACAAATGAGGTTGCCACTGCATCACATACAGACTTCATCGTATTGAATAGCGTAGAATTGCCCAATACAAAAACTGACTCTCCATTTAGATATTGTAAAGATCTGTTATTGTTACATAATATATATTTATTAGAACCCAATATTACTATAACGCAAGACTACAGCAATCTTTTAAAAATGCGAGTTCAGTTTAAAGAAGAAAATAAAGATAAACCTATTGCGTTATGTATCTCTTTATATTGTTTAGGAAATTCTTATTGTGTATGTATTAAAAACACCAGTAATATTGACATTCCTTTGACAAAAATTTCGGCGAGATGGCAATGGGAAATTTTCAAAATATTTCAAGGTGAGCTGTCACAGAAAATTTTAAGCAATTCTTTAAAGTATGGAAGTGAGGTTTATACCAATACACAAACTTTTTTATATCTTCTGAAATCTATAACTCACATACAATAATAAAATGTATTGTAAGTATGGACATGTTGAAAACTTTTATTATTTGTCTTTTTTCAAGTATTTGTTTAGAGCTTCCAATTTTACTGTTTGTCTTATCCGGCACTTCAGGTAGCCGTATTTGCTATTTGTGAACATGACAACAGTCTTTACTTTTCATTCTTCTACAGCATGGTAAGGTCATATTGCCAACAAAATGGCAAAAAATACGAATAGCCAGGTCAAATTTATCCAAATGATTTAGCTTGAGGCCATCCATAAATTACCTCACACGTTAAGGGGGAGGGAGGGGATCGACGAAGTGTGACAAGGGGGTGGGAGGGGTCCTAAATGTCGTGACGTCACATTTCAAAATCTATTATAATCTAAGTGTTGAAACTCATGTTTCTTTAATTAAACTATAACTTTACGAAAACATTAACAACCCAAACGCGAAAGAAGTGCTGCTATGCCAGTTATAAATAATTTAAAGAAGTGGGTTGAATGTACATGGACTCAGGATTATTAAGTTTATATCTTTAATTTAATTAAAATGCTATTAATATTTTTTGTTTTGTTAATTTCTATAATTAATAAAGTTAATCATTTTTTGTTTGGTAATTACTTTAATTATTATAATTAATCGTTTTTTGTTTTGTTAATTGTTTGATTTGATTTTAATATTATTAAAAAACAATTTAAATGGAAATAAAACTGATTTCAGAACCAGTTTTCATTCAATAATTTCTAAATGTAAATTAAAAAATATGTGACGTCACACTAGGGAGGGGGGGAGTCTCACAAGTGTGACCAGCTGTGACAAGGAGGGGCATAAAATCATGAAATTCTTGTGACGTAATTTATGGATGGCCCCTTTATGTAGCTTGTCACAATCATGGCACAGCGTAAACAGCTCCACAAAATATTCTTTATGTGAGCAAGTAGCCTGGTACTTTTTTTTAAACTTATCGAAATGTTTCTTCGCCCTTAGCACGAAACATTATCGAATAGTAGAATTCGATCTATTTCATACATCAAATGTGTTACTGATTTTTAGTTATTGATAAATTCGTTGTGGTGCTATACGCAAACTATTCGAATTCGATATTGGTTCGAGCTAAGGTTAGTGCGTATCATTGTCGCTGTTATTTTTTGTTTTCGCTTAATGGAGCTTGATTTTGTATTTATTACGGTGCCTACACAAGCTTGGCAAACAGTGGACACAAACCACATACGTGTAATTGGCTGTTCGGTATCGGTTTCGTTATCTTTTATCGGTTTCGTTTATGTGTGTCCGCTGTTCGCACGCGCAGACTGAGACTGATATTTTTGTTTGTTAATCTATATACATTTTTGAATTGTTAGTGGAGACAATTTTTTTTTTAATTTTGTTTTTGTATTTTCTCCTTCAGTGGATTTTTTGTAATTTCTTTTGAGAAAATAAATGTCATTTATTTTCTCAAACTGTAATATTATACTAGCATGCTCGCCAAACCTGGCAATGCGCGTTTATGTTGGACATTGTGGTCGGTGTTTGTTGTTTGCAGCAGACAACAAGTACACTTGCAATGTACTTATTTTAAATACATATAATGCTATTCAACTAAGAATAGGATCGACTGGGCGCCATATTGTGACATCATAGCTGTCAATTCAAACCAAATAGGTAGAGTGAGCAAAAAAAGTTTTTAATTAATAAAACTTATTTATTAAGATTAAGTGAGAAACTAAGATTGAGAAAAAGACAATTGTCAATAATATTTATTTATTCAGACTGAAAAAAAACCTTAAATCAGAATCTAGCTCATCTCTGTATTACTGCTGAAGTAGTTATGAATAATCATGCACCATTATTAGGTCACATACGAACATGAATCGTTTATGTAAAAGAAAGTTTTTAGTCGAGTTTCTGATGCTACTTAAAGTGACATTTGGTTGACGATTTAGGTTTATCAACCTTTCATAGCCAAAGCTCAATGAATTAAAGAAAAATATCAACCAATATTAATTATCAATGTTTGTTTACAAACGTTATTATTATATATGTTATTGGCTTTCCTATTCTTATTTGAATCGCACTATACATATATGTATAATATTTCAGTAACTATCATTTGCATGGAAATAAAATGATATCATCCGATTGTATAAAGTTGTTATATATATATAAACGGGAAAACGGGGCCGAATTATGTAACTTATTTTTTTTATTTCATAGTTGGGAAAAACATTTATGTTTCTGTCACTGATACTAATTTTGAAGAGGAAAGTTATATATGTATGTGTAATTGTGTACAGGTAATTATTATATACGTTTTCAGTTACAATTGATTCTTAGTACTGTGAAGAATATATTGTAAGTCAATAAAAAACAGTTCTCCAATGAAATAATGAAATTAAAACATTATCTATGGAGAAAATTGTAATAGTCAAAATACTGCGTAAAAAGAGGCCTGAATGGCGAAGATATAAGTTGTAATGTAAATATTGAATGATAGAGTATTATAATACTTACTTATATAAGTTTGAAGCAGTGTTGGGCACTCTTGTCTAACTAATTTTACTAATCATTTATGTATACAGTAAAACCCGTTTAAGACGATTTCACAGGCACTCAAGCAAATACGCGTCTTAAGGGAGATTGCGGGATAGGGTAATTTCGAATGTAGGTGTTGAGGTATTAAATATACAATATTTAAGAATTATGTATATTATAAAAAAAGTAGTGTATTATTATTTATTATTACGTTATTTAAATTGATCACTTATTTTAGTTTGTCAAAAAGATTTTGAGGCATTAGCAATTAGAAGATTTTCAAAATATTTTAACTTTTGCAGTGCGTCTTCGCTTTGATTCAAAGAAATTATATAGCGTCTTTCACGCCTGGGCATGTGAAAAAATCGGAGTTGACTAATCTTTTTATTGATAATTATTACTTAGAGAGGTAATATGTGTGTGGTACTTTGGCGATTTAAGCGTATTAAACGGGATGACGAATCGTATTTAGCGTTAAGAAATGTATGAAAACATGTCTGAAGTCGCAGGGACTGACGCAAAATGGCGTCTTATGCGAGAAATCGTATTAAGCGTGATCGTATTAAAAGGGTTCTATTTATATATCATGTGTGATGTGACTTATTTAGCCATCATGAATTTATGGGTAGTTACATGTTTGTTTAGTTTCAATGAAAATATTTTGATGGAAATTCGTATACAAATGTCATGACGATAAAATATTCAGTAGATAACAGCTGTAGCTCAACCAATCGTAGACGTTTTCGGTCACGTGACAATAGATCAAAAAATACTTTTCCTTTTTAAGGTTTTGAGTATAGGTTATTATGAATTATTTTATTGTCAGAATAGTGTTGTCGCTCCTAATATTCATATTAAATACACATTTTTTCTAGTAATATTTTCTTTAGATTTAAACATCGAGCAGTTACAACCTTAAAAAAAATTACAACTATAACTGCTGTTTCTTCTTTCGAAAGTTTAATACTTGTAAAGGTATTCATTTGACATTGTGGGTTACCTACAATGCGAAGAGATGGCACTGCCTATATAATATCTTCTTCAATACACATGCCAATAATTGGTACTTTATTTATCATAGTGTCAAAGAGCCTTTTGGTTACCCCTTGGTAGGTGAGGGTTCGAATCCCGTCTGATGCCTGGAGGACCGTGTGTATTATTTCTAGTTAACCTGTCTTTAGATTGATGAATACATCATCAATCAAACTATTATTTAGCTTTCTGTATTACATGAGTAATGAGACATTTCGATCAATTCATTGAAATTATTAGTTAATTTACCCAACATCTAGGTTTCTCATTCGCATCTCATTTTGTTATTCTTTTATTATATCTACTAAAGGTAGAATTTTCATTTTTTTTGTTACGATCACAATTCTGTTATAAACTTAATGCAGGGAAACTGCACGTGCGGATTCTACATATTTGAAAATAACACACTGTAAACTATTTGTTAAAGTACTAAATTGTTAGAATATGACTGTTTATCTAATTAGGTTTTGTTAATTTTTATAATAGCGATATTATAAGTTAAGTGTAAGTGCGCATGTAGGTAGGTATGTAAACTGTAAAAATAAGAAGTTGGTTAAGCTGTAGCTATAAAAATAAAGTCGTTATTTTTCAACGTTTTTATTTTCCTATAAACTATTAGTTTTATCACAGCCGTTGTTATCCGAGTGTCCATATAGTTTCTACATCTGTCGCCACATCCTCTGGCGGTGAATGTTTGTGGAACATGAAGTAACCCTGTATCTGCGCTGGGCTTACTGTCCTCTTCTTTTCTAGTACCCTGGTAAAAAAACAAGTTTAAACATGAATATACAAATAAATATTTCTTACACTCACAAAAAACTAGCCTAGCCCCAAAGTAAGCACTGTAAGGCTTGTGATACTAGAGTAACGGATAGAATTAATACTTGAAAACGTTATTTATCTAGAAATACTTTAAACATCAATGACTTTAGATTAGAAATGCTCGTATTCATCATACAAGCATTTGCTCCACCGGGATTCGAACCAAGGGCCTCTGAGTAGTCGACAGCTTAAAATCCGGTGTACATAACACTTACACCATAGATGCAACCAAATAAAATTATCATAGAAGGTTTTGATAGATGACATTTATATTAATAATTGAGGCTAATGAAGTTTCTGTAAAACTGATAATATTATGAGATTGGTCAGAAAATTGAGAAATCTTGACAAAAACCTTATAAAATATAATATAAGCTAAAAAACAGGGCAATTATAAAATCCGGATATGTCTGGGAAAATCCATTCGAATCGTAACCCTTCGTGGAGCCCTAAGGGGCACTAGCATATTAATACACCCTAGAAAATTTTTAGAACAAACTACAGGAAAAGAAGACTTTACAGTAGCATTTTTACTTAAAATGCGTCCATTAGACAAGTAATTATCAGTCAATTCCATCAGTCATAAATGATAACAACGGAGTGCGACTTAATTCATCAGTCACCTCAGAATAATAATTCACATAGGAGGAATGCTATAGCAACAATGTTTAATCGGTCCGTCCTACTTTCACCGATAAGCTCGATAATGTACAGGAAAGAGAAAGTTTTTTTTTATTTAGAAGCAGATATAGCCGTTTTTCCTCGTCGTTTCGAAAGTCTGACAACAACTTTTGGACGATGAAAATTTAGTTAAAAATTATAAGGGCTCACTAACTCAATGTTAAAACTGTCCATATTTGAAACAAAGTTTCCCTTTTAAATGCCTGGCCACTGACCAAATATAAGACATTTAACCATAAGTTAACCAAATATTACTACCAAATCGGAGACAAAATTGAAAAAAAAGCAGAATAATGTACCTATACTATCTCACTAACACGCGTTAGGCTGCGCTTTGGTTAGAAGTTTAGAACAGTACCGATCTAGCTTAACAGTTTATTTTATCATTCCTTCTAAGTAATATAGCAAAGCTTAAAAACGTCTACTGCGCAAAGTCTATTAGTCTATGGTTTTACTCCAGAAGTTTGCCGCTTCATATACCTAATTGAATTTTGTTAAAACTGGTAATGGCGAGTTAGAAATTAATAGTTACTTTTGTGCAAAAATACGCGCATGTTCCGCTGCTCGTTCGCCTTTATAGAATCTTAAGAACATTAGCTCCACTTGCTCCTGGTCGCAGTAACCAACGTACTCTTTCATATCAACTCGTCCCGGTCTGATCAGAGCTGGATCTAATCTGAAATAAAGTAAATAAATTATGCGAGTAAAGCCCGTCCAAATTAACAGAGGCTTAAGCATAAATTTTGGCAGCTCCGTAATAGTATCGCGACGTCAAATTTTCTATTACCTACTATTAGATTAGTTTCCAGAAGTTAAACCACAATGTTAATTTTCCACTTGCTTTATTCAACTTGTACTTCACTGTAATATAAACTAAAATTATTATAACAAGAATATTTAGCAGCAACACCACGTTAAATTTTGGACCACTATTCACGACGAAGGCTCTCGACTGAATACCGTATTTATGACCGCTCCACTCGCTAGTCCGTCCCCATTCACGTCACGTGATAAGATGGTAGGGAGGTAAGGTGATGTGGCGTGATTTAGCATAGACAAATTAAGATAAAAACAATAACTGTACTATTGACCGATCTGTAAAAATGCTAACATTATAAAAATGCTAACAGCTCGGCCATCCTGCATCAAGCGAGACCCTTCGCGATTTGGTTTACAATAAAGACAGGTTTATTATTATATTTGTTTCTTAGGTTTTCACGCACATCACTCATTAAATAAAACTAGTTTTTACGGGTTAATGCACGAAACTTTATTTATTTATTGACGTTTCGTAGCCTTTACAGGCTTCGTCATCAGAATAAAACTTTTGTTTAATTTGTCGAGCTACCTTCGAAAGACTTTTATTGAGCGTTTGGTTATTTCATTGTTCGATTTTTAAGTTTTATTGTCTATGTATGAATTTATTATTTAATTTACTTAATAGAGTATTTTATTTAAAATTCTTGTTTGTAATTTTGAGTTTATTTATTTGACCCTAACTACCGTAAACTACCACCGGTTCCAAAATTGGGAGACCTTCCTGAGAAGAACCGGCGAAACAAACTCAAGAGAGGCTTTCTATCTCCTTCTTATGTTAAATTATGCAAACAAAAAGAACTAATAGTATCTGATGGTCTTGCAGTGTGTGCTCGGGGTTGGGATTTTATCTCCTGTATAATAGGTTCCCAAGCTGGTGGTATATACCAACCATCTTCCCTATTAAAATTTGGATATTTTTTTAATCTCAATAGCCTCGCGCATCATTCGAGGAACGAACCGCCGCTCAGCTGCAAGGATCTGTGGTCTATCAAATCTAATGTAGTGGTTTGGTCCCCCTAATATTATTATATAATATTATTTTACAGTCTTATATAATTTCTCTAAAATATAATGATTCGAATCATAATTTATTTTCATATTGCCATTTAAGAAATAGCAATAATAAAGCAACAAATAAAAAAAACAAATTAGCTAAAATACCGTAAAATATAATTACATTCAAATAACCGTTCTAAATTATCTTAGATTCTTTTTGATTTTATAACAATGGCATACATTTTAATAAGACTATATAAAAATAACTAACACATTCAAGTACAAAGCTAAAAGTATTGAAACAAACAAAAAAAAAAGACACTAAAAGATACACATTTTTACATTAAAGAAGACTACTTTCTTCTGCCAGAGGGCGCTTACAAGCAAACACTGTCTTTGCACTAGCTCTCAATAATTTATTCGATACATTTGTACTTGTCAAGAGAATATTTATCAAATCTTTATCAACCCAAGTGTCTCGTTATAGCGGCGAACTGTGACTGCTATCTCGCTGCTACTGTGAACTGTTTACAAGAAACTACAAATTGGTGCATTAATGGATTTACCAATCTTATGACTGACATTTTGTGATTTTTTCGTGCAGTTTGGGAACCCTCCGCGCTTTGTTGTGACACTCTGCCTGGTACAACAAGTAATTACTGTGTAATAATTGGAAAGCATTTCAAACCCAAACGTTCAAAATTGCTTTATCATTCCAATTGATGCATCTGCAACGCCATCCATGAGGCGCCCCGCGTACGCGCTGCTCTGGAACGTGTATTGCTGTTAAGAAGCAACAGCGCCTTGACGCACACCAACGCCGCTTTTAGACCTTTAGCACTGCTTGCTGCTTTACTATTGCCACGCCTTGCCTATCACTGAACTGGAGCTACCCAACAGAGTCGTAAGAGGGCAGCATAAATACACTTACCCACCACTTTCCACAATTGATTGCAGCGCTCAGTGCAACAAGAAGATTAACTCGAAGGATGACTATATTGTGTGTAAAATTTGCACTGGAAAATACCATCGATTATGTCTAAATATAAGCAAAAAGATCCCTCTTTGATGACGGCTCAGGCGCCGGAGTCCCGGATGTGCCCAGCATGCCCGAATGCAAACACTCGACGGCGCGGCTCTAATGTTAATACACCGGTTGGCGGGCATCACCAATCTGCCCCCGACTACAGTATGAACATGTCCCTCGACAACAGCTCGCCACAAGGAAAGGACTGCGATGCGGTTACGATGGATAAAATAAGCAACTCACTAGATCATAAAATTCAAACCTCTGTATCGGCCGTACTTGACGAGAAATTAAACAATCACCTGAAGATACCAAAAAAAATAATTAAATCAGAAATTCAATCCGAGATTAAAAATTTAGAAAATAATTTTACATCTACAACCGACTTTATTTGCGCAGAACAGAACACACCAAAGTCCTTGGTGACCGAGAATAGAGAAAAAATTAAAATTTTGGAGAATGAAAATAACAAATTGAAATCTGAAGTTTCTTTATTAAATAATAAATTTCTAGCATTGAGAACCTATCTCGAAATCATAATTTAGAATTGCAAGCGGCTCCTGAGAGTCGTTCAGAAAATGTGGTGACTATATTTAGGAACCTTTGTAGCACAATAGGTATGGCAATCGAAGACTCAAATAACCGCCTGTAGAAGGGTTGCCAAAATGGACCAAAAGTCAAGTCGCCCCAGAAATATTCTTGTGACTCTGTCTTCGCCTCGTTTGCGGGACACTGTCTTGTCTTTGGTAAGACGTTACAATAAAGCAGCTAAAGAACCCATCAACGCACTCAATGCCTCACACCTCTGATCCACAGACAACAAAACAAGAGTTTTTGTTACTGAACACATCTCTCCGAACTGCAAACCGTTACATGCCGAGACAAGAAGGGTTGCGAAAGACAGAAAATACACTTTTGTTCGGATTAAATTCGGTCGTATATTTGTTAGAAAGGATGATGAATCAAGTTCTATTCACATTAAAACCTTGGGACTGTCTCAACAAACTTAAGTAATTAATCTTAATCTGTCTAAATAAGTTCTATTTCCCTTTTCTATTTATTTTGTTCAATTCATCTGGATCTTTGCCTGTTCCACAATGTTAGCATACCATCAAAACGTCAACCGGATTAGAAGCAAGCCCGACGATGTTTACCCAAACATTCTTAACTGCAACCATGACGTGATCTGTTCTACAGAAACAGAACCTAAATGCGAGTATCGGCGATGCTGAGCTCTTTGACTCCAGATATGTAGCCTTTCGCCGAGATCGTGATAGCACTTGTATAAAAAAGAGAGAGGGGGGTGATGTAGCTTTAGCAGTCAAAAAAAAGACTTTAAATGCTCGTCGACCACTTGAATGTCAAAATCAGTACGCACTCTAATAAGTCCTTGATCGCTTGCTTATGCTATTTGCCGCCTGATCCCGAGCTAGACAAACTAAAAGCCTTTTATTCCAACTGTCAGGGGAAAATGATCCATATGGGGGACAACACCGACTTCCTGTGCATTGGCGACCTTAATACGCCTACCATAAACTGGACTAAACGTACCACAAGCTCATATATGTGTCCAGGCCCTATATCTGTGGGAGCCAAATCTGAGCTTCTCTTGGAGACTCTGGACATCTGTAACCTCAAACAGTTCAATAACATCTCTAATAAAAATGACCGTTACTTAGACTTACTCTTACACACATCTAACTCCTTAAGCGTTCATGAGGCACACTCACCGAGTCGCACTGATGACCATCATCCACCTTTGCTTATAGATACCACTTGCCAACCTCCACTTCTAATGTGATCTCGCGAGCCCGCAGTAAGAGACTCAATTTCTACAAATGCAATCCTGCTAATATTCGTGATGAACCGAACTCTGTAAACTGGAATGAGTACTTGGCCCGTGCAAACATTGATGACTCTGTCAGTAAGTTCCAGGAGATATTGAATCAAATCATTTATAAACATACACCCTTAGCGAGCAATAGATCCAATAAATTTCCTTTCTGGCTTAGTCCCGCACTGATTCGTTGTATGAATGAAAAACCCAAGTATCACAGGCGGTACAAAAAATATGGTAACCCTCGTGATTATGACTCCCTTGACTTGCTTCGTGCTCGTTGCAAGTTACTTTTGAACAAATGTTATAGGTCCCATCTCGAGTCTGTTGAAAGTTCCGTCAAACTTAATGTTAAAAAATTCTTTAGATATGTAAACGACAAAAGAAAATCCACTGGCATACCCCGAACCATGACACACGGCGACGTCACATCCTCAAATGTGGAGGAGATATGTGAAATGTTTTCGAAACACTTTAGTTCCGTCCATGAAAAAAATAACTGCTATCTCTACTCGCCTAACAAAACAGCCAATCGTGGTTTGCTTCTGCCAGACGCAAGGATAAACTATGATAGCATTAAAGCAGAAATACGGTCTCTTGACATTGGTAAAGGAGCCGGCCCAGATCAAATCCCTCCTCACTTTATAAAGAGCCGCCGCGATGAGCCCAGCGCTCCTCTGTTCATACTTCTCAATAAGTCATTAGAGTGTGGCACCCCTCCTAGTCTTTGGAAGACTGCATATGTTATTCCCATATATAAACCTGGTGACAGAGAGCAAATCAGCAACTACAGACCCATCAGTATTTTGTCTCGCTTTGCCAAGCCACTTGAATCTCTAATATATGAGACACTCCACTCACATTTTAAGCCATTTCCATCACCTCATCAGCATGGTTTCCTGGTTAATAGATCAACAGTAAGCAATCTCTTAGAATATAAATCCTATCTGTGCTCCGCTTTTGCCAAAAGGTGTTACAAAGTTTTATATAAAACAAACAACAATAATTAGTCAACCTCATCAGAACTTTCTAAATTTTGACCTCGGCCACTACAACAGGGCACTCCTAGGTCGTCCGCATTCCTTAGACCTCGGCCCATACCAGGCACTCCTAGGTCATCCGCATTGCGTAGACCTCGGCCCATACCAGGCACTCCTAGGTCATCCACATTCCTTAGACCTCGGCCCATACCAGGCACTCCTAGATCTTCCGCATTGCGTAGACCTCGGCCCATACCAGGCACTCCTAGGCCTTCCGCATTGCGCAGACCTCGGCCCATACCAGGCACTAGGTCGTCCGCATTAATATAATAATAATAATATAATAAATTTATTTATTTCTTCTTACAACAATTGAAGCACATAAAATACAGGTTAAGCAACACTTAAGTAATATTATTGGGCGTTGTAAGAAGCTGGTGTCCGAAACCGGCGTTAACCTGTACTACGGATCACCAGGTCCTTACCCCTGGAAAATAATCTATACATAACAATGTTCTTCATAACCATATTGCACCTGTATACACATAATATTTATTCATGGTCAATACAAAAACAAAAAATTAAAGGTTGAGAGATAAACAGAAACGTTTATAAATGCATGGTAGTTAATTATTTTTTTATTATAAGCAAAAATTTGATCACTTAACAGAATTTATTTTAGATGGCTAAGTAGATTTTCTGTGTCTGAATAACTTAATGCCTGAACTCAGTCTTTTACAATTTTTTTACAATCTCCTACTGTTAACGGATATAACATTAGTTCTTTATTAAGTTTATTGTACAAATTAATACCTTGATAACAAAAAAAAAACATTACGTAGACCTCGGCCCATACCAGGCACTCCTAGGTCATCCGCATTACGTAGACCTCGGCCTATACCAGGCACTCCTAGGTCGTCCGCATTACGTAGACCTCGGCCCATACCAGGCACTCCTAGGTCATTAAATGATTCAAACGTCTGTCTACCTTCACAGCCGTTTCTATTGTATTCCTCCATATCTGAAACGGACATTATTTCGCGTACATAAAAAATAAAAGTCATTTTTCGTAGAGTACGAAGGGACAACTGACCACATTCAATCTGGATGAAATTAGAACAGCCTTATATAATGGAAACACGCTTAGAAGATAAGGTAACATGTACATGAGTAAAAATAACATCTGAGCACATAGGGTAGTCCCCAGTCAGATGAAAAAAAATATTAAGAACCCTTTTACAAAATTGCGCCACTGCCGTACTGATCGGCGCGTAGGTAGATTTGCACTAGTATATATTGCATTTCACGGGAGATGTTTCGAGTCTTATAAAGTAATTAGTAATGAACTAATTATAAAAAAATATAGATATTTCAGTAGTTCAATGATGGTAGATTAGTTTTATGAAAGTTTTTGATAGTAATTCTATTATAATTCAATATCATTTTAACAACAATATCAAATGCCTTATTATCAAATCATTAATAAAAATTACTTAAAAACATATATAAATTTAATAGTGCATAAGATGTATGTATATATGCGTATATCATAAAATATGGCGTCCTTTCTCTCCACTGCTAGCTCAGCCGTCATATAAAAACTTAACATCATTCTGAAGGCAATTTGTATCGGCTATTGATAGCAAACGGATTTCGATACGTAATATAGACTTGATTTCTCTTACAGAAAACGGACTACCCACATTTTACAGATGTTTGCGTAACAAATATTTATATGCATTGTTTGAACTAAGTCATCAATTTGTAAATTATTAACAGTTATAGTAAAAAAAAAAACATTTTTCAATAGTGATTTGTGATATAAGTGTGTGCATGTCCAACTAAATACACACGTACTGGATTATTCTTTTGTTTTCTCATGTAAGTGAATTTTGTGTTCTGTTTTGAGAAATAAATGTTTTAAACCAGAAACCATAATGATATGGAAAATTAAAATTCTCATACATTATGTTACAACAAAAACATATTTCTGATGTCGTAGTAATTAATTTGATCAATTTTTTTTTGAGATATTGGGGCGTTTGAAGTTGTGCATATTATCGTTTTTTCCGTAAACTAGCTGCAGTAGAACGATCAGTACAAAAAAAAGAAAATAGTATTTTCAAATAGTCTACATTAACTTACAATAGGAAGAATAAATCTACTGTTTACTTCTATTGGAAATAGTCAAAATCTCTCTAAGGGGGTAAACGAGGCGCTCGAGGCTAGTTTTTTGCAAAAAATGTGAAAGGACTCTTATGCAAAACCGAGTTGCATTGATTACATACTTTATAGAGAAGTGCTATATCATATCTCAGTGTTCAATTACACAATGGCCACATTAATGCAAACTCAGTGTAGCCCACGAAGTATTCAAGAAGAAAATATATATATATATAATCACATTTACACACCCTTTGAGAGTAGTCCCAATATGGTGTGCATTTGGACAACAATTACACGTACCCCAGGCAATAGCCTCTGGAGGTTACTATTAATTAATGCAAAAGTATTCAAGAGAAACAATAAGATTATAACTTCATTTACACACTCCCAGAGAGTAGCCCCAGTAAGGTGTGTATTTTTACAGCAACTACACGTAACCCCAGGGAGTAGCCCTGGCAGGATACATGCAGAAGCATTATTGGGACGTGTATGATCATGTAAAATAATAATAATAAAAAAAAATGTAACGTTCTTGAAACTTTAAATATAGGAGTTATGAAATTAGCACTTATGAATGAGAAAAAAAAAAAAAAATAACTTGCGTTTTTTTTCTGGGCGTAGTGAGAATATCAGGATATTCTCAGTCGATCCCGCTTCTGAAACTATTAGATTAGTTTCCAGAAGTTAAACCACAATGTTAATTTTCCACTTGCTTTATTCAACTTGTACTTCACTGTAATATAAACTAAAATTATTATAACAAGAATATTTAGCAGCAACACCACGTTAAATTTTGGACCACTATTCACGACGAAGGCTCTCGACTGAATACCGTATTTATGACCGCTCCACTCGCTAGTCCGTCCCCCCTTCACGTCACGTGATAAGATGGTAGGGAGGTAAGGTGATGTGGCGTGATTTAGCATAGACAAATTAAGATAAAAACAATAACTGTACTATTGACCGATCTGTAAAAATGCTAACATTATAAAAATGCTAACACTACAGCTCAGCAGCGTTCCTACTGGATGTACTTAAGAATAAACTGGCTTCTTCCTTACCAAATTTGACAATGATGATACAGTGCTGTCAAAATTCGTGCTTGAACACACTTTTAGGTACCTGATCTGCAATATGATCTTTATGACTTAGAAGATAAATTTGAACTCGTGTGCTTAACTAAGCACTACTTAGAGCGCACTTAATGTGTCTTGAACTCCCCTGTGAGTTACTTGTACACATTTTAGCTATGTAAACATGAATTATTAACTTAATAATAACTTGTGACAGTTGTCGCAAGTAATATGATTTCCTACATCTATTAAGTGTAATTTGCCGCCTCAGCTGAATGTTAGTAACATTCAAACTGCTTATGGCGCTGAAAAACGCAGCCGCACATAAAGGAATCGAAACAGTCTAATTCTTTAACTAACTTTGAACTATATCGGTTGATATAAGCTTCATAATCGATTAAGATTATTTCAAAGATTGCGACAACTTGATGTATGGCTGTCTGTACCATGCAAGTCGAATGTTTATAACTGCTTTGAATAATACAAACGCGATGGTGTTAAGCTCAGCATGAAACTTCGTTATAAGCTGCAAGGGGCGGCAGAAGCCATATATAGGCTTTCGTTTCTGACCTATATTTTAAGGAGGGAGGGAGGGGAACTAAGTCAAATCCATGTCAAAGAGAGAATTTCCAAGATATTATTAAATTCCACAGTGAGACGCATGAAAAGCGATTAACCTAAAGTACAACTTTTTATTAGCTGCAGTAAAATGACGTTTTGTGGGTTACCGCTTTTTGAAGAAAATAAATAGGGATGTAGCTATGTGAGTAATTGAATCATTCAATAAATAAGTGATCAGTTTGGTTTTATTTTAGAGATTTAATATTAAGTTAATGATTTTTTATTCTATTATCATTACTTTAGTATAGGATTGATCTTTTTCAGTGGAAGTATAAGGACGTACATCCAAAATTAAACAAAATTGTCATAACAATGTTATTTATTAATCAATCATTTTCGGAATCACTATCGCTTCCGGTCACACTAATGACAAATCTGTCTGTCACTTCATCTATAATATGATCGAGGTGGCACATTTTGTCTTTCTCTTTTATAGTGTGAGACACACAGTTCCTCCACTTAGTTGGTGTCACTTTGTTGATTCCATCTTGGAATAAAGGAGATTGCTCAAATAGGCTAGTTTACTCATGTCGAATTGTATTAAATAAATGTTTATTTCTTAAAGTATTTAGTCTAAGGAACCTGAATATATCGATTTCACTTCATAAAAGCAGAAGATTGCTGTAGAAATTTAATTTTAAAAAATATTTTTTAAGTCTATATTTTTTAAACACTAAAAACGCTGTTCGCCACATCCGCCATGATTTTGACGTCTCTTGTGGTAAACTAACTACTACTAAACGTCATTCGCGTGTTACTGTAGGTGGATTCTTTTGTCTGACTAAATTTATCTTAAAACACTTTTAACTTTAGGAAAGAAAAAAACAGTAAACTTAGTTTTTTTTGACAAAACTAATTATGGATGCCGGCTTTGTGAAAGCAGAAAGCACAAATCTGCCAAGAATTGACGCATTGATGGTTGGTGAATTTGTTGCACTAAACCCCGATTTCTGCTCTGCGGAGCAGAGAAACGACAAGGCATCTATGTAAGTACAGTGCATTTAGTATTACAATGATGTCGATTCTGGCATGATTCTCTAAAGCTAAACTTAAATTTGACAACAGTGCATCCTTTTCGCTCTCTTTACAGAATAAAAAGGAGAGACTGATGTCAAATTTAGTTTTAAGTTTAGAGAATCACGCCAGAATCGACACCAATGTAGTAATAAACATAAAACAGATACAACATATGAATATAAAGTTGCGTAGGTTAATTTCTTTCGGCACTTTAATCCACAACTTTCCTGGAGTCTTCAAGGATGTGTTTTTATATTCTCGTACAATACAGTAATGATAATTACTTTATTTTTCGTGGTATTTATTAGAAATCATGTTTTTTTTATCATAAACTCAGTTAAAAGTAATTTTCTACGTGTTTACGAGTTTTTGTTTACCACAGTTCACGTCATAGCATAGATAATCTATAGACTAAAATGGCCGACAGCGTTTTTGTATGTCCATGAAAAGTATATTTTATAATTAAAGATCTGTAGCTTTCTAGGTTTAAAAAAGATACAATACATTTTTTTTCGGTCTAATAGAACATTTATTAACCATTTAAAACCTTTTTCCAAAAAGGGTCAACTAGCCTATTGGCCCAAATGCACAAAAAATATTGACAAACACGGTAATTCTTGGCGTAATTTATAATAGGCTAGTTGACCCTTTTGGAAAAAGGTTTTAAATGGTTAATAAATGTCCTATTAGACCGAAAAAAAGTATTGTATTTTTTTGAGACCTAAAAAGCTACAAATCTTTAATTTTAAAATAGTTTTTTCGGGACATACAAAAACGCTATCGGCCATTTTAGTCTATAGATTATCTATGCTATGACGTTAACTGCAGTAAACACATAACATAAAGGTAAATAAACAAAAACTCGTAAGCACGTAGAAAATAACTTAACTGACTTTATAATAATCAAAAGATGATTTCTAATAAATACCCCGAAAAATAAAATAATTATCATCATTGTATTGTACGAGAATATAAAAACACATCCTTGAAGACTCCAGGAAAGTTGTGGATTAAAAGTGCCGAAAGAAATTAACCTACGCAACTTTATTACACTTATTCATATGTTGTATCAGTTTTATGTTTATTACTACATTGTAATACTAAATACACTGTACTTACATAGATGCCTTGTCGTTTCTCTGCTCCGCAGAGCAGAAATCGGGGTTTAGTGCAATAAATTCACCAACTATGAATGCGTCAATTCTTGGCAGAATTGTGCTTTCTGTTTTCACAAAGCCGGCATCCATAATTAGTTTTTTCAAAAAAAAACAGTAAACGGAAACTTTTCTAAAGTTAAAAGTGTTTTCAGATAAATTTAGTCAGACGAAAGAATCCACCCACAATAACACGCGAATGACATTTAGTTGTTTACCATAAGAGACGTCACAATCATGGCGGATGTGGCGAATAGCGTTTTTAGTGTTTAGAAAATATAGACTAAAAAATATTTATTTAAATTAAATTTCTACAGCAATCTTCTGGTTTTATGAAGTGAAATCGATATATTTAGGTTCCTTAGATCAAATACTTTAAGAAATAAACATTTATTTAATACAATTCGACATGAGTCAACTAGCCTATTTAATTTACAGGATTTTTTAATCCCGTAGTTAGACCGTCTAAAAATGCCTGCCGAGAAGATTTTATACTTCCACCACTCCAGGTTTTTTGTCGTAGTATGACCTGAAAGAACAAAACATAATCATATGTTTCGACAGCTAAATAAAAGGGGATCAAACATAGAAAACTAAGAGTTGCCACTTACCAACGTTGATCCAGGTCTCGTCTTGATTGGAGGTGGATGGGCGGCTCCTTGAAGGCCGCAGTCATAGGCCGCCGCTGGCCTCCTCCTCCAAAGGGTCAAGCCAGCCTAAAATGCCTCAGACGAAGCCTGAGCAGCGGGCACCCACCACCCTTGCCCCGCCGGCTAACCTGCCCAAAAAGGCGCAGGAAATAAAAAAAAAAAGCCGGCGCCGCCCAAAACACCAGCTTCAGCCCCTCCTGCAAGAGATGGGCCAGGCGAACCCACCCAGGGCGAGTGGGTGGTAGTAGGGAAAAAGGGCCGGAAGAGGAAAAAGAAGGCGGCCAAGTCGGCTCAAGCCAAGGGCCCTAAGGCCAAAAAACTTCCAAGGGCACCAAAAACCCTGGCGGTGGTTTTGGCCCTCCAGCCGGAGGCAGTGGAAAAGGGCCTAACTTACGGGCAGGCACTCGCCAAGGCCCAAGAGGCCGTTAGCCTAACCGAGCTGGGCATTGGCCCAGCAAAGTTCAGGACCGCCATAACGGGAGCTCGAATAATAGAGCTCCCGAAAGAGACCACCCCAAAGCAAGCAGATACGCTTGCCGAAAGGATGGGGGCGGCTCTGGGGGACGCGGCGAAAGTGACGCGTCCCATCAAAACAGCCGACCTCCGGGTCATCGGCATTGATGATGCGGTGACGACGGAGGTGCTGGTGGAGGCCCTCGCCAAGGCAGGGGACTGCCCTGCCCATCAAATTAAGGTGGGCAAAATCCACACGGGGGCCCGCGGGACTGGGGCTGCTTTTGCCTCGGTCCCCGTAGAGGCGGCGAGGCGCCTTGAAAAGGCCTAAAACATAATACTGGGCTGGAGCTCCGCCTCCATACGGCTGTTGGAGCAACAGCCGATGCGTTGCTACCGCTGCATGGGGATTGGACACCCTGTGCAGTGCTGCTCCTCAGTCTGCGACCGCAGCGCGCTGTGTTACCGCTGCGGTGCTGAGGGGCACAAAGCGGCGTCCTGCACAGCTGCGCTCAACTGCGCAGTCTGTGCAGCCGCAAAGCGGCCGGCTAATCACCGCATGGGGGGTCGTAGATGCAAGCCCCCCGCGGTCAAAGCCCGCATAGCGCGGGCAACGACGACAGCAGAGGTCCCACGACCTACGCCTCCGCCAACAACATCATCGGCGGTGGCGGCGGAGGAGCCGATGGAAACCAATGTCCAACACATCCATTGAGCTCCTCCAAATAAATATTAACCACTGCGTCGCGGCGCAGGACCTAATGCGCCAGTCAGCGTCGGAGTGGAATGTGGGACTGGTGATCGTATCGGAGCCCTACTACATTCCGCCACGATCACCCGAATGGCTAGCGGACACAAACGAGTCCGCTGCCATTCTGCGGCCGCCGGTCAGCCCGGGCCCCTCCTTAGTACTCCTGGAGAGGGGCGCCGGATACGTGGCTGCCAAATGGGGGGGAGTAGTCGTTATATCGACCTACTTCTCCCCCAACCGGAGCCGGGCGGAGTTCGAAGTTTTTCTCTCCGCCCTGGAGGGAGTGGTGCTACGGGCCGCCCCTCTTCCGGTCCTTCTAGCGGGTGACCTCAACGCCAAGTCCACGGCGTGGGGTTCACCCGCCACCAGTGTGAGGGGTGGCGATCTGGAGTCCTGGGTTCTGTACCTGGGGCTCCAGACCCTCAATGTGGACAATGCGCCCACCTGTGTCCGGTGGCAAGGCACGTCGATAGTCGACGTGACCTTCGCCACCCCCTCCCTAGCCGGCCGCATATCGGGCTGGCAGGTGGAGGAGAAGGAGACCCTATCTGACCATCTATACGTCAGATACCGGGTCTCCTCAACATCCCGCGGGGCCCGTACGACCGAGGGCCCCGCCGTGAGCGCGTTTACGAGATACGCGCTCACGAAACTCCGCCCCGAACTGGTGGCGGAGGCGGCGATGGTGCGGGCGTGGGCCGATGCGCCCCCCCACCTCGCCGGGGATGTTGATGGCATGGCGGATCTATTTGCAGACGACATGAGGGTCGTCTGCGAAGCCGCCATGCCTAGGGCACGGGTCTGCCCCAGGAGGGGGCAGACGTACTGGTGGACGCAGGAGATCGCTGACCTGCGTACCACCAGTATGAGGGCCAGGCGCGCCTACCTAAGGTGCCGTAGGCGCGCCTCAAGTACACCTGACGACGAGGCGGAGTGTCGTCGGGTGTACAAAGAGGCCAAGAAGGCGCTGAGGGTGGCCATCATCATGGCCAAGAGGGCGTCCTGGGAGAGCTTTATAGCTCTCCTAGACCAGGACCCCTGGGGGCGGCCCTACAAGGTGGTGCGGGGGAAATTCGCCAACAACGCCCCCCCCCCCACCTCGGCCATGGAGGAAGTGCTGCTGGACCGGGTACTGGGGACTCTGTTCCCCGACCCGGGTCCTTTCCAGCCCCCAAGAATGCTCCCTCCTGGGGGCCCTCCCGAGGAGCCGATCCCGCCCCCCCCTCCCGTGTCAGACGCGGAGTTCGATGCGGTGAGGGACAGGCTCCGGGCAAAAAACACGGCGCCCGGGCCGGACGGTGTCCCACCTAAGGTGTTGGCCCTCGCCTTTGGGGCCCCTAAGGAGGCGGTTCCTAGCGGTGCTGAATGTCAGCGTCGCCGCGGGCCGCTTCCCTAGGAGGTGGAAGCAGGGGCGGCTCGTCCTTTTCAGAAAGGACGGCCGCCCGGAAGACTCCCCTTCGGGATACAGGCCGATTGTGGTGCTCGACGATGCCGGGAAATTCTTAGAGAAGATCCTGGCGGTGAGAATCGTCGAGCACCTGGAGGGGCCGGGCCCGAACCTGGCCGAACGCCAGTTCGGGTTCAGGCGCAACCGGTCCACAATGGAGGCGGTGGCCCTTTTAAAGGGGTGGACCGAGGCGGCCACTGCGCGGGGTGAGGCTGTTATTGCGGTGTCGTTAGACATCCGCAACGCATTTAACAGCCTCCCCCACGAGTGCATTATGGAGGCACTAAGGTTTCACCGAGTGCCTCCATACCTGTGTGCCATTGTAGAGGACTACCTACAAGGTAGGGTGGTCCTCTACGAGGGGCCCGACGGGCGCATCCGCTCGCGGGCCATGGCCGCAGGTGTACCCCAGGGTTCAGTGCTGGGTCCACTGCTCTGGAACCTGGGGTACAACTGGGTGCTGCGAGGCAGCCTCCTCCCAGGAATGGAGGTTGTCTGCTTCGCCGACGACACTCTTGTCGCGGCGAAGGCAAAGGAGGTGGAGGATGCGGTGCGTCTAGCGTCGGTCGGCACCACAATGGTCGTCCGACGCATCCACCTCCTCCCTCGACAAATCGAGGGCCATGATGTTCCATGGCCCACGCCGCAGCACCCCTCCGGGGCTCCGTATCCGGGTGGAAGGGGTCCGAATACCGGTCGAGGGAAGCATGAAGTACCTCGGCCTGGTATTGGATCCCCGATGGAGTTTCGAGGAGCATTTTAAGCTCCTCACTCCACGGCTGTGTGCCGCTGCAGCCGCACTCGGCAGGGTCCTCCCGAACGTGGGGGGACCAGGTGCTGCGTGAAAATGCGAAAAACGAATGCGAAATTAGGCTGTCAACATTATTTTACGGAATGACATTTTGGAACTTCATTTTACTGCAGCTAATAAAAAGTCGAAGTTTAAGTGGTCTTCACATATCTAATTTGTCTTACTAAAACATAGTGGTACATTTGGGGCAAACACTAAAAGATCATTTATGATAAAATTAGGTTACCTTTCTAAATAATTTGTTGTCATAAATACTACTCTTGCTTCTGTCGATGCCACACCATCTAAGCAGTTGAGAAGACCACTAAATGTAACCCGGTTAAGGCCATCGTAAGCAGCCTTCTGCGTGGGCGTGTCTTCCCGAGACACAAATGCAGCATCGATGTCTTCCAATAGGATTATAGATTGCTGCGGGGCAACACTGAAACAAATTGTATGGCATAATTCGTGTCATTAAAGAAAGGAGTCGAGAATGACGACGCAAGATGTTCTCTAGTGTCGCTCTCGCATAAAAAAAAAACAAATTCAATATCGTATATTCAGTCTACGTTGTTCCAAGCACTTGTGAATGTCGAAAAGCTACGCCAAATCTACGGCGAGAGACCTTGTACTGAGAAGAATCGACAAGAAACTTAGCAGGGGTTGTTTTTGCTCCCGATATTATATTCAGAGTCGTCAAATTGAAAAATGACTTTAATATGATATAGTTCATAAAGTCACTTTCCATTACAAATAATCATAATCCTAAGTAACGTGCGAGAGACAGAATATCTTGCGTCGGCATTCTCGATTCCTTAAATTAAGATTAAGATTCCCTAATGACACGAGTTAATTTTATATTTTATTATATATATCACTGATTGGTTGATTCGGCGCTTAATTTGATTGGATTCGGCCTTATATAGAGCCACAATCACATGTCAAGTCATGGGCGTACCCAGGTAGGGGCAGGGGGGGGGGGGGGGCAGCTGCCCCCCCTAGAAGATAAAATAAACGTCAATTTTCCTGGCAAGTGGGAATTAAAAACGTGTTACCTACTCTGCGCAAAATGAAGTGTTGGCAACAAAACATCTTTTCAGACAGATATTTTGATTTAATTTTTTTTATCTATAATTAAATATTCTACAACATTCGATATAATAGCGACGCAATATAATTTATATCTCCCGCGAAACCGTCGTATCTCGTAGTTTCCGCTCCCGACGAGATAATCAGAGCCATCTAGGATTAAAGCCGAATATAATTTGGAGAAAACAACGTCTAGCGCTAGCGCTATCTAGTTACGGACGACGACACTCGACAGTGCTTTTTCCAGTAAAGAAGAACGTTCTAGCATGGACTATTCTGGAAAGTAAAGACAGTGATAGCAAGTATGAGACAAGGATGGCAACAGAGTCGAGTATTTTCTACGTATTTCGGGAGCGAGAATATTTGAATATATAAGCGCGATCGTGAGGCAGAGCAAGGCAATTCAGTTCGAAATTTCGAATACAATTCAATTTAGTTCGGAGTTTAATACGAGCGAATATTTAATGCGCCATAATAGTGTCTTATAGTTTAGTTGCGGCGACACGAGATTTACGTTTACTGCGCAACAACTGGAAAGATTTACTCCATCAAATGGATATCAGGAATTTCTTTGAAAAAGGTGAGTCAAAACAAAACACATATGTATGTACCTAATATGATTATTTGATTTGTTTAAGGGGGGCTCTCTTGTAAGTGTATAGGAAGTAATTGATATTTGAATGTGATGTTTTTATAGGTATCTTAATCTTTATTTATTACCACGTGTTTATTAGGTCCGTTTCTTGTCTGTTTGTCTATTGGTACAAATCTGGCAATTGATTTTAAACTAACTTCCCGATCTCCGGATGAGCTAGAGACTTGAAATTTTGACTGTAGACCAGAAGTGGATGACAATACAATATTAGATTGTTTTCTTGTCTATTTGTCTGTTCGGTACAAATCTTTTAATTGATTTTAAACTAACTTCCCGATGAGCTAGAGACTTGAAATTTTGAAGTGGATGACAATACAATATTAGATTGTTGTCTTGTCTATCTGTTTGTTTGCTTGTTTGTTTGTTTGAAAGTTTAAAAAAATACACATTTTTTATGACTAAAAAGCTGTTTTTTTTTAATATACTTACCACGTTTTTAAAACGGACTAAAAAGCATAACGAAAAACGTGGGGTGCAAGAAAAAAAAATAAGATAGGTAATGATAAAAAGTGTAAAAAGTACCAGTCGTTGAGAAATCTCATGTTAGAAGAGCTTTCTCATTGACTGCTACTTTTTATGCTTAATTATAATTTAAAATGCTTAGATAAATTTATACGGCATTAGAAAATATTATTTTATACTGTTTAGTCCGCTTTAAAAACGTGGTACATAATTTTTTTTTTCGTTCTATGCCTAAACACCGTAAGAGTAATTATGTTTGTGTATCCTTTTTTTAAGGACAACACGGGAAAAAAGAAAAAAAGGTCGGGATAGTAGCAGTGGACGAAGCGATGAAAATGACAACCATGATAAAACCCATGTAATGCCAAGATCATTGCATGCTAACATTGGACAAACGTCACATTCTCCAGCAGAACCTGTAAATATATCTGTTGCCGATTATTCTTCTCCATCGACATCCCAGCAAACTTATGACGTCAACGTCGATCCTGAAATTATAGTGGACGATGGCTATCATGAAAATGATCTGGGTCGTTATGTTGGGTTGGCTACTCAGCTATCGACGGAAAAGAAAAGGGAGTTGTTACAACATCGTTGGATCCCGCCCAGAAATTATGATTTTGAAAGTGATGCAAGCCATTTGAAAAGGAAATTTAATAATGCTTGGTTGGATCAATATGCACCATGGCTAGTATATTCCAAGCGACTAAAAGGCGCTCTTTGTAAGCATTGTGTTTTGTTCCCTCCGCCCATCAGCACTGTGAGAGGAATTTTGGGATCATTTATGGTCAGGCCATATATAAAGTTCAAAAATATGCATGAAGACTGCCGAAAGCATGAAACGACCAACCTTCACCTAACAGCGACAAATACTGCAAAATTTTTTCTTGAAAATGTTCCTGTAGACATCAACTGCAAAGTGGACACCAAAAAGCAATCGATGAAAACAGACAAATATTGTCATCAATTATTTCTTGTGTAGTATTTTGCGGTACACATGATATGCCTCTTAGGGGAAAACAAGCAGATGAGGGCGTTTTATTAGATTTATTAAAGTTGAGAATCAATTCAGGGGACGACAAATTAAAGAGTCACCTGGAAAAGTGCCGTCGCAATGCAGTTTACACATCGCCAAAAATACAAAACGAATTGATTAATTTATGTGGCGAAGTTATTAAGGAGAATATAATAAGTGAGGTTCAGAAGACCATGGCTTACGCAGTCTTAGCTAATGAAACAGCAGACGTAGCTGGGAAAGAACAGATATCAATAGGCGTGCGGTTCTACGACGAAAGCAAAAGGAAAATCAGAGAAGAATTTGTAGGATTCGTTGAACTAAAAGCACAAAATGCTTCAGCAATTGCCGAAGCAATTGACAATTTCTTGATAAGTTCTAACCTCCCAACAGAAGATTGCGTAGGGTTTGGATTCGATGGCTGTTCTACAATGGCAGGGAAAGAGGGTGGCGTACAAGCCATTTTGAGAAAAAAATATCCTCGTGCTTTATATTTTCATTGCTCAAGTCACAAACTCAACCTTGTTGTGAATGATGCGAACGCAGTGCCAGAAATTAGAAATACTGTCGCCACTGTTAAGGATGATATAACGTTTTTCAGGGAATCGACTACTCGTCGAAACTACGCTCCAAACCTATCACGATTGTGTGAGACGAGATGGTCCGAAAAATATAAATCAATCAGAAAGTTTTCTCAACATTTTCCAGAGCTTGTGAAATCTCTAGAAACGTTATCCGTAGAGGGAAATTATGCCACCAGAAAATCTGCATATCAGTTGCATGCAGCCGTTACAAAACCAGTGTTTATTGTTGCTCTACAAACAATAGCCAAATATTCAGCAGTTTTAGAACCAGTAGTTAACGCACTGCAAGCTAAATCGATCGACATGATCTCGGTGGGGGGAACACATCAAAAATATCAAGGACATTCTCAGAAATGACCGCGAGTTTCCTGATAAAATAAGTAATGAAATGCTTCAAAAAGCGCGAGCTGTTGCAATGGATTTGAACATAGAAATTTCGGTTCCACGTCTTGCTCATAAGCAAACACATAGAAGTAATCCGCCATCTGACAATGATAACGAATATTGGCGGCGTTCTCTGATAATACCATACATTGATTCACTCGTTTCATCGTTGAATATTCGATTCTCCCAAGAAAATACTCCGGCGTTTGCTTTAAGTAAGCTACATCCCTTGTATATGACCAAAACCAGCATTACAGACTGACACAACAACGCAGAATCATTCCAAGAATTTTATATCCTGGATATCACTGGAGAACTGAACCTTTGGCATAATTCATGGATGAAGAATGCTTTATCAGATGATCAATTAAGGGATATAGAAGTAGTTGATCTGTTCAACGAAGTCAATATTTTTTACCCTGCTGCCAGAAAGGCATTGATTATTTTAAGCACTATCCCATGCATCACGGCGACCGTAGAACGGTCCTTAAGTACGCTTCGAAGAGTTAAAACGTGGGTTAGAAGCACCATGGGTGAAGAAAGGCTTACGGGTTTATGTCTGATGAGCGTACATCGCAATTATTTAAAAGAAAACAGTGAGTTTATTCAAAAGACTGTCTTAGACAAATTTTCGGCGGCAAATCCGAGAAGATTACTTTTAATTGTATTATGATTATTATATATATATATATATATATATATATAATATTTTGTTTTGTGTCATAATCAAACTAATTAATAAAAGTAAATTTCCATGATTTTTTGTTTCAATATACCCGACCGACCATCTTCTCGAAACAGGTATGAGCTGCCCCCTCCTACCTGAAATCCTGGGTACGCCCTTGTGTCAAGTTACCTAAAACTGTAAAATTTCTCCAAGTGATTTTGAGCTTCATTTGCATAAGTAGATAAGAGATTCACAATCAATTCAAAGTAAAATTTTGTAGTTGGTGGTTACTTAATGTGTGGAGGTCTTTACCAAAATTTTAAGAAAATGTTAACAAAGAGTAGATTTAACCTACAACCTAAATATGAAAAAAAAATTAGACACTAGGCACTTCTTTCGAAGTTTTCTGTCAGAACGCAGCATACCTACGCGTCGTTGTTGACGGCGTACTTTCTGACATCGAAGCCATTAATGCTAGCGTCCTACAAGGATCAGTACCCTTAGCACGAACCAATATCGAAATCGTATCGTTTGCTTGTACGAAATGTTATTGTCAAATGTGTACAGATTTTTAGTTCTCTTTACGTACGTAAAGAGCGCTGCTGTTCAAATTCTCATAGAAAATTTGAAAATGACATTTCGGACTCGCAAACTATTCGAATTCGATATTGTTTCGTGATAAGGCTACAGTTCTGCGCCCATGTTGTTTACGTTGCATATCAATGATTAACGGCATCCCTTATGACATTGAACCCATTAATGCTGGCGTCCCACAAGGATCAGTTCTGTTGACCAAGCTGTTTATTTCGCATATTAATTATTTGTTGGAAACTAACTAACAGCAATATTCATTGCTATACGGATGACAGCATTAGCAACACCTTTTACTCTGGTCACCTAAATATTCCGCGGATGAAAGTAGATGACTGAGGAGACAAACTTGTGTCTGAGATTGAGGCGTTTCTGGATCAAGTTTCAAATCGCGGCCGACAAAACTTAGTCCGATTTAACCCGATAATGATATAACTTAAATACACATGCCATGTTTGCGTTCTCCGCGAAAAAATCCCCATTCGCCGCGCCTTATTTTCAGGACACCCCCTTCAACATCTCTAAAACATCGACATTTTTGGAGTCGACATTTCGAATGAATTTCAATTCAGAGATCACTTGGAAGGAGAAGCCAATCTAACCGCACCACACGTTGCAGAGAGAAGTGTCACCCCAAACATCTTTGCCGCTTTGCGTTCTAGCACCACGCGACACTATAAATAGTTATAGGCACTGTAGTTATGTAAAATATGAAAAACCTTAGTAAGTGATTCAGTCTATCGTCGGTGAGGCCTCTTTCTGACAAATTGAGGACGCAAATGTTGTATTCTAGTTCACCCGCTAGCGCCATGATAAATGATGATTTGCCGCAACCTGGAGGTCCATACAGCAAGTAACCTGTAAAATATTAAAACTATTTAAACTTTTCTGTATCGTAAACACTGTTAGTTTGCCTGATGCGTAAATTGAATAAAGTTTATTAGTAATTAATATTTGAATCTGTTACTATGACTAAAGTTAGTCTTGGTTTAAACCTAATGATGTCTCTGTCTTCTTTTTAGCAAACAATAGTTACAGCATCAGTTTTACTTCAGTTTTAAATTTAGTCAATGTTTTGTAATATCTATGCGCTACATAACTGCTTAGAAAATATTTTGATAGGCTAAATACCTTTACCAGGCCTACTTCGCGCACTCAAAGGCGCTATGTTATACCCTTCAGGAGATAATTCGAGAATACATTTTTTGCGAGTATATACCTACCTATAAGCTGAATATAGACTTTAATATTACGAATATTATGCGTTTTTAAGTATTATTTGTTACAAGAACAACTTTACAGGTACCTTTACTTATGACACTGATCCTACCATCAATGCAATGACTATTTGTATCAGAAGTCTACGGATCTTCTAAAATCAGTATCTTTATAATATAGTCATCGGGTACACTGCAAAGGTCATAAAAAAACTCCATACCTCTACGATATGGGATTCCGCGTTCAGTGTACCACTGAGGGCTATTTATAAAATCTAAACAGTCTTCTAATATTTTGTCCGCTAGTCCAGTGCGAAGAACCACACTGTGTAATGGGCGTCTTCGTCGCGGATGTCCGAATGGACGCCATTCGGATCCCATCGCTGTATACATTATCGTCATCCCTTCATGCTGTTTAAGTGCCATTGCTCGTGCTGAAAATGTAATTGACACCTTTTTATAAACATTTTCGATATACTTTAAAAGACGATTAGTTATATTAGAAATCAAAGTCAAATGTAAACAGAATCAGTTATTAACCAACTTCAAAAAGGAGGAGGTTCTCAATTCGGTCGGTATGTTTTTTTATATATGTACACCGATTACTCCGAGATAAGTGATCCGATTTACGTAATTCCTTTTTTTCAATGCGGAATAGTTGCCATTTGGCTCCATAAATATTTATTTTATCCCGTTTGGCCATATTTTTTATTTGATAAGCATTTCTGTTACTTGGACAATGTAATTTTCATGATACTTTGTTTATACTCATTTAAACATTGATTACTTAGATTTCTGATCCAATTTGAATGATTCCATTTTGTTCAATGGGAGATACTTACCGTTTGGTTTCATAAAATAATTATTTAGGTCAGTTTTATTTTTTGTTTATAAATATTGTTTCAGAGAACAATTTTATAAAAAAGTTCATTTGTATTATCATTATTTAGAGGTTTTTTAGTTTTTGGTGTTTTATCTTTAACAAATGCTGTGTGATTTGGTTGACCAAGAACAATTAAGTTATTTGATTCAAGTCACAGCATAATGTCCTGTTGTTGCAGAAAAGTATGTCTCTTGAATGGTTTAACAGTGGCTTAAAAGTTTCAGCAAAATTTCTGACCGCCTTAGTACATTCACGCGCTTAGACTCCAATATGTTGGATGGCAATTTAGATATATTAATGGAGATATTAGCCGGAGAGCCCGGCTGTATAAAAGTCCCATGGATCAGATACATGAATAGAGTCTAGAGGTCGATACCCCTGTAGTTGCTTGATATTGCTCACATGCAAAATTATGACGCCACTTTCGGTTTTTATTTTAGGTGTAATTGTAATTTATGAAATACATCAAGATAATAATAATGTCAAACGAAAGTTTTTGATGAGTAGGATAATAATAAATGTCAAGGGTCGACAAGCACGAAGACCACCATAAAAAAATATTTTTTTAATGTATCTTAAGTCATCAAATACATGGATTTGTTAACGATTTTCTGAAACTAGAACCTCTCAAATGACTGAAAAAAATTGGTCCACACCTTTTATTTGAACGGATCTGACTGTCGAATTAGTTTGAAGAATTAAAGTTTGTGTGATCAAAGTCAAGGAGATTACCTTCTTCAAGAATTTCATAATATAATTGTTTATTTCGTCCAAATGAAGTCAATACAACAGTCTCCCATGGTATTCCCATGTGCAAGTCCAATGTCTGTTGTTCCCTTGTCCGGTCAACTTTGATCCAACTGCCACGATATCTAAATTGATTGACAAAAAGGAGCCAAAGGAGTCATATAATGTGTGAAAAGTTATAGATTAGTAGATAGTATATTTATAGCTATAGTAGTATTTGTAAGTTACAATTTTTAATGAATTAAAGATTTAAACATCTAGCAGTTGAAATCCTTAAAAAAAATAAACATAACTATGAATTAAAGATGTTTTTTAATAAATGGGCAATGAAGCAATGCACCATTAAAATTAGATTAAATAATTGTCATTTAAAAAATTGTTATAAAAAACATTCTGTTCTTAAATTCATATGAGTGGGGTGAATTTTTCAAAAGTTTTCTGCAAAATAGCAGAATCTGTTAATAAAAATGATAGGTAAGGAGATAACAGTTGTTAAGTAAATAAAATAAATTAAAATTAGTAAATATGAAATAAATTATTTCTAGGTGTAAGCATGTACAATTAAAATCAGATTAAATAATTGTCATTTTAAAAATTAATATACTAATCATCCTGTACTTAAATTCATATGAGTGGGGTGAACTTTTCAAAAGTTGTCTGCAAAATGCAAGATAACAGTAGTAAAAAGACTTAATTTTACATACTTTATATGAAATCAATGAAAGAGTAACTAAAAATGCAAATAACTTGTGTCCAACCTGAAAAAGTGCTGACCCACACTAGGTATGAAATCATATTTTGTTTTTATTTGGCCTGTATCTTTCTGTTGGAAGGATGTTTCTACACTCAAATGTTGAGTCTGTTTTGCACCTTTCTGTGTTATCCATTGCAACAGCCATTGATAGGATTTATCTCTACACGGAACTTCGAGTGTTATCATGCAGTGCCTCCTGAAGAGAAGCATGGATGTCTGAAATCCTTTGCGTAACATAGCAGCAGCAGCTCCGATACCAAATAATCCAAAACCAGCCCCAAAATATGGGTTATCTGATAATGAGGCTACATATTCGGTGATGGGCATTTTCTTAGCTGTGATTTAATTGAGAAATATACAGGCCTTCAAAATGTAGCTGTGGAAATTGTATAATTATACTTTTACAAGAATCTAACCTTCATTTGTTGACATTTTCATTTTGACAATGACAATCAGCTGACTCTGAAAATAGTTTTCTTTTTAAATTTTATTGTTTAATTCTCCCAAAGAAAATTAACTCCATACAGCTTCGTTTATAGTATAATATATTTGTAGTAAAGAGCTGGATATGTGTAGTTTGAACGTATTGTACATCCTATGGTGTCGATTCTGGCATGATTCTCTAAACTTAAAGCTAAATTTAACATCAGTCTCTCCTTATCATTTTGCATAGATAATGACAAGGATACATTATTGTCAAAATTAGGTTAAGGTTTAGAGAATCATGCCGGACTCGACACTGTTTTTGCCAAATTTAATCTTAGGTTTAGTACATTAACACTTTCACGCTTTATCTTATAATATATTTGGAATATGGAAAGAGTAATTGACATAGTGGACAATGGTGTCGATTGCGGCACGATTCTCTAAATCTCAATTTAAATTTGACAACAGTGTATCCTTGTCATTCTCTATACAGAATCAAAAGAGAGACTGATGTCAAATTTAGTTTTAGAGAATCACGCCAGAATCGACACCAATATCTAAAAAAGCTCAAGAGCAGACATGGAAAAAGTATGTACCAAAGTAATTTTATATTATCTAAAGTTAGCCCACGGACCATTAGTAAGTAACCAGGTACTGGCAGGTGAGGTTGTTTCGTTAATGAAGAAACTACAACAAAAAAGAAAAACTAATGAAGAAAATATTGCTAGTTACTATAGATTCGCTACAACACCTATAATCATTATTTTGTGCACAAAATATTTTTTGAAGTGATAATTTCTTATGGGAGGGTAAACTGCTTCGTTATGGTGCGCGTTACGTCGCCAATCTGTCTGGTTTCCCTTCCTCTTACACATACTTCAGTGGTAGGCAGGCTCCTCCCAGTGATGCCATGTGCACCGCAATTATGGTAAATGCACCGTACTTAGCAAAAATCTACCACCGTTGGAGCATAACAATGGTGACAAAATCCACAGTAATTTGCATTTGTCAAGCAATGTTTAAAGTACAAATTAATTAACTATGAGAAACCTCACATTTTAGTTTATATACGCAACCTCCGAACGAAAAAATAATGGCTGTGAACGTAACCCGCACCTTGTTCTTACCCGGGGATTCCCCTTGCACTACGCTCTTTCGAATATTATAAAATTAAGTACTTTATACTTTATTGTACAATTCTTAGGACAAGATTTACATTTGGTTGGATTATTGTATTTGCGTCAATTATTATTGCCTGGCTGTTTTATTTCTGTTGAGTGTTCGAGATTTCAACGTTTTTAATTTACTTATTTATTTCTACATCTTAGAAAATGATCCTGATTCTTAATCTGAAGTGGAAGTGCCAAAGAAAAAAAAATCGTAGAGAATGGTTAATGAAACCAGAATTTTGCGATTGGTTAAGATACTATGAAAAATATGAATACATTTGCGGTGTAATTTTATTTATATTTTTTAACTATAAAATTACTATTTTCTTTAAAGTGCACTGTAATTAACACCATTTTCGCCCAGGGTCTATCACCGTATTTTTTTAATCTACCGTATTTTTTGAGGTGGTTTGACTGGCTCCTCCTCCTCTCTAAGGGTACGGTCACAGTGCACGCAGGTTCAGAATCAGATTCAGCTTCAGAAATCAAGCCCTATGGCTACGGCCACAATGCACGCAGGTTCAGAATCAGATTCAGACTCAGAAATCAAGCCCTATGGGTGCGGCCAGAGTGCACTCAGATTCAGATTCCGAAAACAAGCGCGAGAAATAAACAGTGTAGTGGAAGGGTACGGCCAGAGTGCACTCCTGATTCAGATTCAGATTCAGACTCAGAAAACAAAGCGCGAGAAAAAGCAGGCAACCTGCTTAGACTACACTGTTTATTTCTCGCGCTTGTTTTCAGAATCTGAATCTGACTCTGAATCTGAGTGCACTCTGGCCGTACCCTAACTCTAACTCGTACCGCGCCGCTTATATTAGTTTAAGTTATCACTTCTGTCGTGCGTCCCGAGACGCACACGCTTTTATGTTAAAACGGTGGTAAACAAGCGTATGACCCGCCTGATGGTAAGCGGCCACCATAGCCTTTAGACGCTTGCTATACCTACCACTCGCCTAAATATACCTTACAAATTCATAGTTATAAATAACACTCGCACCGTTACCTCCTCTGACCCAATCTCCAATCCCACTGTTTGTTAATTTAACGCACCTGAAGCAAATTTTGTTCTAATACATACTATACATTGATTTAATAGAAAATATTTGTGATATTCAAATGCATAGTCCATAATATAGACGTCTCTTTTCCTCGCTGTCCACCTGTTATATTGCTATATCTGTATTCAGAATTGCGCGTAGAGTTAAAAAAATAAGGGTATATTTTTGTGCGTGCATATAGCAATAACTCCTAAAATTTTAGGTGCTTGCATTTCGAACTGTCATAACTCTTTGACGCATGCGTTTTAATTAAGAGCTTATACAGTATATATTAAAGGTGATTTTCAGTATTTATATAATGCCTTATGTTGTTTATGACTAGGCGAACATCTTAAGGAGCTCCGTGGATCGTTCAATGTACCTTTTGGACAAGTTTCGGGCACGATTAAGTTCGTGTTGGTGTATCTATTGGTATTTAATATCGTTGCTTACGGCATACTCATCATCACCAGCCTACTATCCGCTAAAAACCCTGCGAATACACTCTACACTGTTAAGTGCGAAACCGCGAGATCCCCGTTAAGGGTTTTCACCGCGTCTCTCATAGTAGGTACCTACTAACAATGACCATGTACGTAGGTAAACCTATTTCGAACTGTACCTACGTCAAATAAACTATTTCGATGATAACATTAATTTTGGGAAAAGGCTTGAAATTCATTGAAAATCTTTAAAATAAACATAAAATGATTACAAAAAACCATCATACGAACAAGTTCATTAAAAAACAATACAAAATAAATTAAAAGTGTTCTTACCTTTCTAAACACTGTCCTTACTACAGTGGCGGCTGAATGGCAACTGTCAGCGACAAGCTAAAACAAAATGAAATTGTAGCTTTCACTGGTTCTCTCTTTCTAGTCGTAATGTGATTGGTTGATTTGTATTAGTACCAACAAGATGTAGCCAACATGAAATGAAACACTTAATCGCGGGAAAGCTTAATATTAACACTCAAAGCCGCAAGTGGTCAACAACCGGTGCGTGGTCAACTATAGGGTCAACCATCCTACGTCAATGTTACCTACGTGGCGTCTTATGGCAGAACTACACGTATCTGTCGTGTTGTGATTGTGATGTATCAGGGAGCTATCTGTTTCATACATTTAGTATGGTTAGAGTGGGAACGGTGTAGACACATCGCGACACACAAGTATAGTTCTAACCGGTATCAAATGTATGAAACCGTTTGCGTCACAACACAACACGACCGATAAAGTATATTTTTGCCTTTAATCTACTATTTTGTCAAATTACAAAAATATTAGGTACGGATGTTAGAGTAAGTAAGTCAACGATATTAAATACCCTAGACAGACCAACACGAACAAAATCGTGCCCGAAACCTGTCCACAAGGTACGTACATTGGACGATCCACGGAGCTCCGTAAGATAATCGCGTAGTCTTAATTATAGGGCATTATTTTAACATTGAAAATCACCTTTAAAGCATACTGTATAAGGTCTTAATTAAAACGCATGAGTCAAAGAGTTATGATAGTCCGAAACGTAAGTTCGTATTTAATGACGTCACCAACATTATAGCTATTAACGGGATTGTTACCATGTACCTTGTTTTTTTGACTCAACGGCGCAATTCTGAATGCGCTGTTAGCAATATAGCAGGTACAGTCCGTTAGGAAAAGAGATGGCTATATAACTGACCATGCACTTGAATATCAATAATAAATCAGTTTATAGTAAGTATTAGAAGAAAATATGCTTCAAATGCGTTAAATTAACAAACATTGGTGTCGATGCTAGCGTTATTCTCTAAACTTAAAACTAAATTTAACATCAGTATCTCCTTTTCATTTTGTATTGAGAATGACAAGGATGCACTGTTGTCAAAATTAAGTTTAGCTTTAGAGAATCATGTCAGAATCGACATCATTGTATTGGTACCTGCCGAAAACGACACTTTACGTACTATAAGTATTTTTTTCGCATTTTTTCACGGAGCGGCCTGTTGACTTTTCAACGGTCCGCACGTGACTGTGAACTGAGAAGTGCTTGAGTCGTGGTCAAGCACTCCTTGATTGGGACACATTTTGAGCGCACGTGGTGTATCTAGGGTATTTAATATCGGTGAAGTAAGAACGTTTATAATATTAACCTTACCTAGGTATATGCCTTCGCATCATTACAAAAATAGTTTTTCATAATTATGTATATCTATAACTGTAGTTAACTACTAATACTTCTCTGGTAAGTAAGTATAAATGATCAAACAATATACGTACCAACTGTGTGGAATTCATTGTGAATGGTACACGCAAGACCAAGCGACCCCAGTTTGGTGGGTTCAATAAAAAGCTTGTGGAGCGCTGCGGGTCACGCGACCCCTATCATCTGTCGGAGTGCGCTCTGAAGTCATTGAAATTGTTTATCATGCTATGACGCTCGTGTCGTGCGTATATTGTATACCACATTATTAATATATTTGTTGACCTTCTTCATTAATAGTTCGAATTTTAAGGTGAAAAAGTCTGCAAGAGGTATTTATTAGCTGGTGTAGTAGATATAGAGATGCAAAAAATCTATCTAGCATCTACTTATATCATTATCTAAAAAAATTTTTTCACATTTAATATAAAAATCTTCGGTTTCCCCGTTTGTTTTATGTTTTTTTGAAGTATCAACGCAGTTATCAGAGCGCATTTAAAGTTTTTTTTTAAAGCAATATAAGGTGTGAAATCAGACATAACATAGTAAAATAAAATATTTATTTTTCAAGAAAGTGCTTAGTTTTCATAGAAACTTTTACGATGCGATACGATTACGAAGCTTTAGCACACATTATTAAACTAACAATACTAATTTCAACGAGTAGACGTTTATTTAAAAGAAATCTAGACGGTCTACAATTTATACATGTCATTGTTAAACATGCAACTTAAGATAAGATTACTTTTGCTAACGATTTTATGTTTGGAGCAGTTTGAGCATTCGTACCCAATGATGCGCCAGTTCCTACATCAGAAAGACATGTCGGAGTATTGCAAAAGACGCGTGATACCCTCGGTATTTCTTGGTACGCATGTGGCGGAGGCGCATTCTAAATTACTTCACTTCACAAATCTGGATATACCCTACAGTTGCTTTGTTAGCATTAGGTATAGTATAATATATTTGTATTTATTAAAATTGATAGGAGTGCGCGTCCCTTGTTCCCTGTAGGAACACTGCCACGAAGATTTGTTAGTTTATAATGGTTACTAATATCACAGAATCTGGTCATTTTAACTAGGCTCCGAACGAAGTTTAATTATATAAGAAGAAAATAAATATTCAAAATGGCCATGGTCGCAGAAGTTACGATTGTGCTGCGGCCACGACTACGACTAGTCGTAAAGGCGGTATCGACAGTAAAATAAATTTATAAAAACCCATAAAATGCCAAATGTTCACCAGAGCCAAAAAACTTTCGAGATTTTAGAAAAATAAGCATATCTACTATTATATATATTAAGTGGTGGTCGAGATGATATGCAACTATAATTTGTATCGCAGTTTTACCCGCCACTGCCAGCTGTCACACCGGCTAACCAGCCATCCTGATTTTGCCACCCTGCAAGTTGCTTAGCCACGTCTGTAAGGATCATAGGTTTCAAGTGGCGGGAACAAGTGCGGCAGGCAAAGCATTCCATTTACGAATAGTGCGACCATGAAATAAGTTATCAAATCTAGTCGTTTGCGTTCTTAGCCCCAAGAACGAACTTTGACACTCCGTAATCGTATCGTCATCGTCAAATTTTATATTACTAGAAGATCCGAATCTACATCGACCTTCACCGAGCTGATAATAGAATGAAACATATTTTATCACGAATTTAGTATATCAGAAAATATATTAAAAATTTGTTGCCCAAAAAAATCCTGGGCAGAATATTTTTAATTAGTTTTTAAATAAATATTTTAAATTAGATGCTGCAACATCAAGATGGTGTAAATAACAAAATGATTTAAAGAATGTGCAGCCTTTGGGTAACGTAACTGGCATCGACATACCTGTTTATATCTGGCAACCCAGTAGTTCACCCAGGTAATTAATAGACAACCCAACGGTTGCACATTTTATACGTTTTACACTGTAATTCAGGTCAAAGTTTTCCTATGGTCTAGACGTTGCAACAACAAATGTTTTTTTTTAAATTAATTAAAAATAGTCTGTCCAGGATTATTTTAGGCAACCCATTTTTAGTATATTTTCTAATATACTTAATTCATGATAAAATATGTTTCATTCTATTATCAACTAGGAGAAGGTCGATGTAGGTTCGGATCTTAGACCGTATGTAAGGAGCCAGTTCTTTTCTACGTCCGGTAGAGATGCTGCTTAGTTTTCATAGAAACTGACGATGCGATACCATTACGGAGCTGTCACACTTCATGCTTCGACCTCTGTGGTAGTGGCTAGCACGCGTGGTCCTTTGGTTAAGAGGGATTGGAATAATATTATTTTTACCTTTCTCATACTTAATATAAGCTTTAAAGCTTTACTTGTGTAAGTGTAGCGTGAGTCATATGTTAAACTTCTCTAATATTACAGGAGCGAGTTAGGGAGCAATGTGATCTTAGTCGTCCAATTATTGTCAGAAGATAGCCTCATTAAGGGATGCAAAGCCAATCCTAATCAGTTGTTGGTTTACGAAATGGGAGAGACCTTCGGAGGGTATTGGGGCCCCCTGCCAGAGTCTATGTTGCTGCCTTCCTCAACGGTTTCCAAGGCCTACCAGAATACAAACACGATGCCATCGTCACCTACACAAATGTAATTGAACCAATATCCATGATTAGCGCATTCAGTCTGCTCAGGCGCGGGATCACAGGGGATGTGACGCCCCCCGACATCCCAAAAAATCGCATACGTCAAACTGAAAAATCTTTAGTCCCTAGCCACGATGCAGTCATCTCAGTTTGCGAAGATGATCTCTTCCCAAATATAAAGACTTTTCTCTGTGGAATTTCTATAATTGCCGGGCATAGAGCGGATGACCAAAAATTTAGTTCTTCTTCTCTGTGCTTAAGAAACTACGGTAAGCTGTTGAACCCAGGGCTGCATCGTTAGCTGTAAGCATTCAATTTTTATTCATACTGAACTGGCAACTGTATTCCATCCACTGGCAACGGGAAAGCCTATGTGGCCCTACAGTAGGGGCATTTATAGGCTAGTGATATTATGTTCAGGGTGTGGTTCAGGTTTATCGTTGGGATATAAAATGTCAACGTGTCCTTTGTTGTATTGGGGAAAAATAAAAATATAGAAACATCAATTACTTACTAAATATCCCACTGAGAGAGTATAAGGATGAATGATGTTCATGTGCTGTGCTCGGATAGTTTAACCCTTCAAAGCGCTGCAAAATCGTGTATTGCGCGGTGCCACGGGTTGCGTGGTTACGTGCGCAATATCAATTTGCATCGCGATCTCAAGTTAGATTCCATCGCGAAGTATATGAAGAACGCCTCGAGACGTTACTTCAATAAAGCCGCACATCGTACAAAGTCGCGTTGTAAGGCCATGTTTTTTTACTCCTGTAAACTCCTAAGGCTTAGGTTAGGTTAGGTAAGCACTGCGCAGCACACGGTTAGTTTCCTCACTGTAGTGAGGAGCTGACCAAATAAAGCATAGTAGAGCTTGATGTTGATTGGTCTGTATTTTCATTCTGATGTTGTATGTTGTACTGTGTGTTTGAGTGTCGACTCCCATACTCTTTATCCCTCATAATCACTCACACTATGACCAGCTATTATTAATGTCCTTAATGCTGGGACAAACGCCTTAAATATGGACAGGAGCTTAATTTAAAATCTGGCGCCCCGGACCTCTTCAGGTTTGCACCCCTCCTGTACATTCAATACTAAAAAATAAAGACCCTGCACATTATATAAAATGAATATAAGTTCATAACGAATACATTTATACGGCTTCTGGCACCCTAGGCCATGGGACTTTTGGCCCTAGAGGGTAAATACACCCATGCCTATGGAAGGATAAGGAGGACGGGCTATAACATATAGGTACATACAAAGGGATAGGCAGGATTTCATTCATATGTTTGTTCACCCGTTGTCTATAACCTTAGGTGCCTTTTGCAGATTAACTGATACTAATGAAGAAACAACTACAGTTTTAACCACTGAAAATATTAAGACTATTAGCTCGGAAGAACATTTCATTGAAGTGGAATTGCCAATATTTAACTTGTCTGGAAATTTCGACAAATTTCTGGGACAGGGTGAGGGGCGTATGAAAGTAGAGGACATTTTCGATATATTGTACGATGTCACTCCTAGGTAGGTATATAAGTTACCAAAATAATGTCATCTTTCTATTTGAGCGAATACTAACGCTAACTTTATAATGAATGTCTGGTCGTTGGAGTCGTCGTCTTTATATAGTCGTGGAAGTCGGTGGAACGAAACTTGGCAGTCACCGCCGTCCTGTCTCGTAGTCCATTGTCATCTTTTTTCCTGTCAATACTGTCATGATGTCCGTCTGTCATATGTAGGCTAGTCAGTCAGTCCAAGGAGGCCGGACGCCGCGACATTCCCACCCCCAGTATCAGAAAGCTGATACTCAAGGTTGGGAGCCGACGTCCAGTCTACACAGTTTCGTCGCCGGTCGAGTATAAAGTCCCTGCCTCGTCGCAACGTCTGCGACGCGTACCTGGTGGTCCCTTCCAGGGTACACTTTCGCGATCCGACCCCGAGGCCATTGACCCCTCGGAAGTTGGTCGTCCGCGATTATCACGATGTCACCTACGGTGAGCGGCCTGTCAGGTACCTGTAGCCACTTATCTCGCCTCGTCAGAGAGGGCAGATATTCGCGGACCCATCGCTTCCACGTCAGGTCCGCCAGCCTCTGGGACTCTCGCCAGGAACGCCGCAGTAAGTCCCCGTCAGAGAACGTACCAGACGGTCTGCCAATCGCCGAAGTGTCTGTAAAGAGAAAATCGTTAGGCGTCAATGGTAAATCGTCGTCGGAGTCAATTGGCACGTAAGTTAATGGACGGCTATTCACAAACTGTTCGGCCTCTGCCAGGAGCGTTCGGAGGGTCTGCTCGTTTGGGACTCGCTCCTTTAGCGTCACACGTAGCGCCGTCTTAATGCTACGCACCAGTCTTTCCCAGCAGCCTCCCATGTGTGGAGAGTTTGGAGGTATAAATCTCCATTCGATGTTGCGGGTGCTGCCGAAACGCAGTAGTTCGCTCCGGTCCATTGCTAGTACCGCCTGTTTCAGCTCGCGATCGGCCCCACGGAACGTCGTTGCGTTGTCACTGTGTATGACCGCTGGACAGCCTCGACGAGCTATAAATCGGCGTAAGCTCAGAATCGCAGAGTTGGTAGTCAAGTCGTTGACTAAATCTACGTACACCGCGCGTACAGTGAGGCAGGTGTATAAGGCTCCCCACCTTTTCTCTTGTCTGCGGCCTATTTTGACCAACATAGGCCCGAAATAGTCTAAGCCTGTGTAGGTGAAGGGTCGATGTCCTCCTTGGAGCCGAAATTCAGGTAGTTGTCCCATGAGCGGCGGTACGGCTCTCGCGCGTTTTATCTTGCAGAGGGAGCAGTCATTCCAGGTCTTTTTAACAGCATTGCGTCCGTTGAGGATCCAGTAACGCTTTCTTAGTTCGTTGAGGACTCTTTCTCTACCAGTGTGTGCGGCTTCGAAGTGGTAACGAAGCATTAGCAGCATGACGAATGGTTCGGTTGGGTGTAATATAATTGGGTGCTTAGTATTGTAGTCAAGATTTGCCGCCTCAATCCTCCCCCCAACTCGGAGTATGTTGTGCGCGTCTAGGAAGGGGTTGAGTTGACGAAGTGAGCTTGATTTGTCTACATGTCCATGACTTTTTATGTTGTTAATGTCGGTAGAAAACCTCTGTCTCTGACTTTGTTTGATGAGTGCTTCTTCCGCGTTCGCCACTTCTAGCGCAGTCAGTTCACTTCGAAGCCAGTCGGGATGTTTGTTCTTGAAGTTGTGAACCCCACGGAAGAACCAAGCTGTGCTTCGTACCAGTCGCCAATACTGAGAAAAGCGTTTAATATCGGGTAACTCTGGTGCCATGTCGTAATTAGTTAGGCAGACAGCCTTAATCTCGTCGTCGCCGATGTAAGTGTCGATAGTGTCGACATTGTCAATATCAATAGGCCATTCGTTGTCGGGTTTAAACAAGAAGGCTGGCCCCTGTAGCCACCTCTCACCATCATCAGCCATCGCGGTGTCTCTCGTGGAGTCATCGGCTGCATTTAAATGAGTGGGGATCCACCTCCATTGCTTATAGTCTGTCAGCTCTGTTATTTCGCTGACGCGATGTGCGACAAATGGCTTAAATCTGCCTGAGTCGGACCGCAGCCAGCTCAACACTGTTTTCGAGTCAGTCCAGAATACTATCTTAGACAGTGCTGCCATTTAACAGTGCTGTAGGCTCATGAATAGACGTGCCCCTAACAAAGCCGCCTGGAGCTCGAGCCGCGGAATGCTCATCACTTTTAGAGGCGCTACTCTTGCTCTCGCCATCAAGAAGGCAACGTGCCAGATCCCGTCGGTCTTGCGTGATCTGAGGTATGCTACGCTGGCGAACGCTCTGGAGCTGGCGTCGCAGAAGATGTGCAGCTCAGCCACCCCATCGTAGTCATCTGTCAAAATCCAACGTGGTACTTTAACGTCATTTACGGACTTTAATTCATTTAGCCATGTTTGCCACATAGCAAAATGGCAGCTTTCGATCTCATCATCCCATCCTATCTTGCTGCGCCAGATATTTTGGAAAAGGATGCGGGCTTTGACGGTGACATTGAGAAAAAAACCCAGAGGGTCAAAAACTGACATAATTATCTTAAGGACCTCCCGTTTCGTCGGTCTCTTGACACCACGTACCAGGTCGTCCGGTATATTGGTTAAGTTTAAAATGAAAATAAAATAGTCGTCGTCGGGGGTCCATCTGACCCCTAACACCCTCTCCACGACCTCATCTTTGCTATCACTGATCACTTTGACTGCTGACACGGAAAGTCTATCCTGAGGAATGTTCTTTAGAAGCTTTTTTGAATTGGAGACAAAGTTTCTTATAAAAAACCCACCTGATGAGTGTATCTCTATGACGTCCTTTACCAGCTGGATCAGGTCATCCTCGTTGTCCATCGAGTAAATACAATCATCGACGTAATGATGTTCAGTGATAACATGACAGGCGAGAGGATGAGATATCTCATATCGCCGAGCGTTAACGTTCTTTACATACTGTGATGAGGAGGGTGAGCATACAGCACCAAAGGTCATTACGTTCATCACGTACTGGCCGTCCTCCCACAGCAGACGTTGGGCCTGCCTGTCTTCATGCCTTATCATGACCCGGTGGAACATCTCCTGAATGTCACCGGTGACAGCTACCTTGCCACTGCGAAATCCTAGGAGTATGGTTGGAAGCGAAGTCAGAAGATCAGGTCCTGTCAAGAGGAAATCGTTCAAAGACTTGCCTTCCGATTTCGCCGCGCAGTCCAGTACAAGGCGTAGCTTGGGCTTATTGGGGTTATAAACTGCAAAGTGCGGCAACCACCAAGTCTTCATGGACCGTATGGAGGCGTTTTCTGGATCTAGCTTTGAAACATAACCTTTTATAATATTGTCATGGAATCTTTCTCTGTATTTTATAGCAAAGTCGGGACACTTACGCATTCTCGCTCCGATACTGAGAAATCGCTTCCTCGCTTGCGGTAGGCTATCAGGAAGCTCCGGCGTCTCTGACTTCCATAGGAGACCTGTCTCGTACCGCCCTTCGGGAAGGAGTCGAGTCGTACGCTCCATAATTTGAAGCGCGAGTTGATCCTCCCGAGAGCGAGGAGTCTCGTTCGTATATTTTGTACCAAAGGCTTCTGTGGAGAAAGATTTTTTTATTAAGTCATTAAGTTCGTGACAGTCACAGACATGTAAAACTGTCACGTCATTCGGTATACTACCGAGTCTTACGTTTCCATGAACCACATGTCCTAATTTTGTCAGAGATATCATTGGTCCATTTTTGTCACCGTATATAATTTTCCTCGTCACTATCAATTCAATGTTGTCTTGTCCAATGAGTAGCTCAACTTTTTTATGTCGAAAGTCACGGTCATTTACATAATTATTTACATAAGAGTATCTATTTACAATATCGATAAAATTAAGATTATTTACACTTAAGTTTAAATTACGAACAGAACGAACGTTATTCACGTTATACGTATCACTCACTTTCAGTCCTCTAATATTTAACGACACGATTTGCGAATCGGCCTCTTTCGTCGTCATACCTGAAGCTCCTCGTATATGTAACGGTGATATCTCTCCTCTAATGCCAGCCCGTTCTAACAAAGATCGGTCAACTAAAGATACCGCTGCACCCTCGTCTAGCAGGGCTAGGGTCTCGACGTCTCCTTTAGGCCCAGCGATCACCACTGGGATGACCTTTAGAAGCACACGCAGCTGGAATGGTTCATGGCGTTCCGTCATTGGAGCTACGGCGGTACTCACGATTTCGCTTGTCGTAACGTTACGTGTCGGTCTGAGTGGTGGCGCATGAAGTAGCGGGTGGTGCACTCTCTCACAACTCACTTCGGTGCATTTTTTCTTATGCTTACACTCTTTCAGCTGGTGCCTTTCAGATAAGCAGGAAAAACAAAGCTTTTGTTCTGTCACGAAATTCCAACGTTCGTCTACGGAAAGTTTTTTGAAAACTGTACAGTCCTTAAGCGCGTGTTCGTCTTGACAGTAGACGCACCTTTTCTTAGCTGAGGTCGAAGTCGTTGTATACACTACTTTCTTGTCGTGAAAATTTGGTTTTGTACTTTGTTTACTATCGGTTGTCGGTGTGGGCGTAATATATGTAGAAGCTTCGGCTATCTCCATAAGCCAGTCTGACAGATCATTTAGTGTGACGGGTGTAACTTTGTCAATTTTGTTTACATGGAAGGCCCATAGATATTTTAGATTGCTAGGGAGTTTGTTGATAATCTCTTTGATTAGCATCGGATTCGAAAGATGTCCCGTTTCCTTGGTAGCGTTCATCGTAGCAACAATATTCTGTACTGTGGTAGCAAACTCTATGATGTGATTGATGTTATCGTGACGAATGAATTTTGTATTGCGGATTTTCTGAAGCATGATATCAATAATGTATTCTGGTCGACCGAATCTGATTTTAAGTGTGGATATAATCTTGTCTAGGTTTGTAGAAGAGACCAAGAGAGCGAACACTGAATCGCGAGCGCGCCCCTTCAGGGCCCTTGAAAGTCTGGCGATATTCTCGTCATCAGTGTATCCGCACAGACGTGTAGTTGAAACGAATTGGCTGTAAAACAGGGGCCACTCTTCGGGCTCTCCTGAGAACACAGGTAACTCTTTAGTACTATTCTGTCGGGCTAAGAGCTTACTTAGGTCTTTCTGCAAGTTGTGTGCTTCAGTGCTTGTTGATGGTTCATTCAGGTGCTGTCGAGTGTGAGGTACTATCTTGTCTGTTGTGTTCTTAGGTGCATAATGATCAATACCTGTTAGTATCTTTCCGGATCTGAGAGAGGTGCGAGATCCGTACCTGTCGTCTTCGTCTTGAAACGCTTGCATTTGGATGGTGAGCTTTTCTTCTAGCAGGCGCTTATCGATTGCCGCACGCTCTTCGGCGGCCTCTAGTTGTAGCTGCAAGAGTCTTTGTTTTTTAACTGTCGACATCGTGCTAGTGGTAGAGTGAGCGGAAGGGCATGGCGAGGGCGGGCGGCTGTCCCGGATTGACTGTCTGGCGTCTTGCCCATCCTGGTCAGGGGCAGTAACGGCCGCCATCGTCGTTGACATCATTGCCCTGGTCTGGCTTCTCGTTCTTACCATGGGCTGGGTCAGTTTTCTCGAAGAACCACTTGTCTGGTCGTTGGAGTCGTCGTCTTTATATAGTCGTGGAAGTCGGTGGAACGAAACTTGGCAGTCACCGCCGTCCTGTCTCGTAGTCCATTGTCATCTTTTTTCCTGTCAATACTGTCATGATGTCCGTCTGTCATATGTAGGCTAGTCAGTCAGTCCAAGGAGGCCGGACGCCGCGACAATGAAATTACACTCGAGAGCAATGAATCCAGGTCAAATAAAGAATTCTAAAAATCTCGCAAACTAAGAATGCTACCTTAATGAAATATATTGTGTTTATTAGAAAATTAAATACTCCTTAAATGAAAGTAATAAAATTTACGAGTTACCACATTTTATTTACAAAAAATACATAAAGAAAAAACTGATGAAAAAAAGTTTGATCTCGCCTTAAAACAAAAATAGGAAATATGACATTTTTGAACAAAATTACGATTTTCTTGAATTTTAATAATTCATGTTGCCTTCGTGAGTTTTAATATCTTCATTTAAGGAGTATTTAATTGTCTATTAATTAGAATTTATTTTATTCAGGTAGCATTCTTAGTTAGCGAGATTTTAAGATTCATTATTCTCTAGTGTACTTTACATTTCATACATTTGGAAAGACTACAATCCCACTATCTTCGATATTAGAAATTTATCACTTTTGTTGTAATAAAACCGTTATTATAATTTAATATGGATCGTTAGTATTTACACACGATAGAATAATAGGTATCAAAGGTAAAAAGTGTCCTGATCCAAAATAAATTAAAAATTATAATTAATTAATTGAACTAAAGGTCTTGCGGGTTTCTAGGATTTTTATTGATAAACAGGTTGATTATAATTAAATAATTAATATTTGACAATCAATGTACCTAAATAGTTTCAGTTACATTTAAAAATCCGACTGAATTCTCCAGCTCCATGATTTTGACCACAATACATAGAAAGAGGGCCGTTGTGCCGAATGCACCATTGACTTGCACCATTAATGGTGCAGATGAAACTGCTTGATTTCGTTTACATCATAAATGGGGCAAACGAACCACAGAACTAAAAGATAGTGTCATCTGCACCACTGCGCTGATACTTACTATAAATGCAGTTATATGATAAGGTATTTTTATTTGCATGTTATAATTTATTTTTACAATTTTATTTCAATTATTGTAACTGTGGAGTAAATTGTTATAATAACAATGAGTGAAACTTTTATTGCACACGAGGATTTGGAGTTTATTTGTTTTTTCGTCATTTACTTGTTTTTTCACCATTCATTTTTTTATGACGAGGAAAGTAAGAGGAAATAATAATATTCATATTATTGGTGCAAATGAAACCAATCAGAAGTCAATTGTGCATTCGATACTACGACGAATGAGGTTTCTTTCTGTGTTCAGTGATTTTGACTCGTATACAAAGAATCGACGTGCTGACTATGTGAAAGTGTATGAAGGTAATCAATTAAATGAAAACTAATAAACTTCAGATCTGCTGAAGGCTATCAAACCACTGAAATACCGATGCTTCAGTTTTCTATCGCACAAAATATAAATGGTCGCCGCTACAGCTCGGAAAATCGTTACAATTTGGAGTATGGTAGTGACTTTTTGAGTTCTCATACAAAGTAAGTGTGAATCTGTGAACTATATAATGTAACTTTGTTTAAATAACACGCGTTCCCTTAAGATATTATCTTCGTTCATAAAAATGGAAATAAAACAACAATCACAAATCTTGTATACCTTATTTATTCTTTATGTAAAATAATTAATTTGTTTTCACAAATTATTTAATAAATTATGTAAGTAGGTTATTCTTAGATCTTGATACATGATAATATTGTTACAGTCATAGCACAAAGTATGTAACCAGTGCGCATCATAGGTTAACATTTCCCTACTTTCCTCTACAAATAACAGTGATGAGGAGAACTACAAGCAAAAAATATGAAAAAATCCAATCTCTTAGAAGACAAAAATCTTATTATTCAGTGGCAAGAAAACCAAAGTACATTAATGGGTATGTATGGAACAGTTGTTGGCAACGCCACCAAAAGATTAATTTATAAGATATAAATTTGTTAATGGAACTCGGGCATGCGCGCCCTCTCTTGCTGCACCGCGCGTCCAACGATTACATTGTTATTGTGTGTGCTCCGCAACTTAATAAAGGAGATTGCTCAGCTTCCATACATGTTTGGCCTAAAGACCAATAATCATGAAAAATTGTTTCCTAGATTCGAAATTATATATAAATTACTGTAGAAACGAATATTATTGACGGACACCCCTGAGAACTTCTATAAACCATATACACTGAACATATTAAAATAATAAAAAACAAATAAGTTACATAGTAAACTAGGGAAATCAAGCCAAGTACCGAAATTATGGATTAGATTCAGGTTTATAGAGCACGTAGATTAACAGATAGTTGCCTGTATTTAAAGTTAATGCATATGAGTAACTTTTAAAATCATGTGTCATTTCCGGTTATAATAAGGTACTCTGTGACAGAAACTGTGTGATGATTGTGAATGAGCCACAGATTAGAGAGAATTTTTAAATTCTCGTTAACCAAAGAAAGCTAAGAGATTTAGGTTCTACAGCCATATATTCAGTAGCTTCATTATTTTTGTTATGTTTTTAAGATAACCATATTTCTAGATTTTTAGTGCATAATAACTTATAATTTTATTTATTTATTAATTTATAGTCAGGGAACGTAGGCCCATAGATAGATATCTTAAAGTCTAACATATATACAGATTATAATGTGTTTATGGAGGTGTTTGGTGAAAAATGTATGGCAATAGACTTAATGATGTCGCCTACAATCTATAATAATTGTCTAAGCACATTTGCATCTAGTGAAAATGATAATAAAGTTGTGGATATTAATACCACAGTGTAATAAAAAAAATGATTTATTTTATCCATCTTTACTAAATAGATTTGTTTTTATGTTCACGTCACGTCGGGGTCACCACTTTGGCATATTGTTATCTCTATTGACTTATATTATTGCCACTTTACCTAAGTTAGGGTCTGGTGCGAATGTCAAATAAAAGCTGCTATATAAATCACTGACTGTTTATTCACTTCACAATGTTCATCTAAATTACTCTGACTCCAAATTATACTGTCTATTTTCTAACTGTTATGCGTACTATTACAATGACTTGAGAATGAACCTGACGGGATCGGTGGTAATGTGCGACTGGCTCGCGTCGCCGCGGACCGCGCGTCGACGCTTATATCAAGTCAGCATTCTTGGAATCCAGTCGCCACAATATAAACAACTTCGATCAGTCTTTGGCTGAATGTTACTACACCCATAGCCATTAGAAATGAATCGTATGTTTTCCAAACCGGTAAAATTAAAGTCCTTTTTAAAGTAAATATATTATACAAAGGTGTCCGTTGAAATCTAATGACTGTAAATTAAATTATAAATTACGCCAAGAATTACCATGTATGTCAATATTTTTTGTGCATTTAGGCCAATTTGAGCAATCTCCTTTCTAAGTCAGAGAAACCTGGTTTCCCTGAACGAAAAAATTCCTGCCCGCCACACAGTTAATGTAATAATTTTTCATATAATTACTGTCTTTTTGTTAGCTACCACTTCAGAAATTATCATTCTTCAATTAAAATTAGGCTTACCTATTACACTAAATGAATACTAACTGACGTAAGTACTAAAAGTAGTTTAATACAATGATCAAATAATAATAATTTAATACTCCTGCAGTGCTATTCTGTAAGAAAAAAACTCACTTTTCACCTCGGGATCCGCGGTGTATTAGAACACGAATTTCACCGGCGTATTTTCGAACAGATGTTGTGAAAAGTGAGCTTGTTTTTACAGAATATCACCACTTTATATTGTGTTTACTAGATGAATTGCATGCAGACCCTTTATAGACATTTCTCCATTTGTCTATATGGCATATTTCATATTAATTTTACAATATTTCTACTAGCTAATATTTTCCACAATAATAAATACATAATTAATACTTTAAGAAATGATTTAACTATAGCAATAAGAAAGCATGCAATTTTGTGAAATACATTATTTATGACAATAATTAGAAGAGTTAATGATTTGACAAGCATAAATAAATTGACTTTCTGAAATCATCGAAATAAATCATAAATTTACTTTTTTTTAAAAATTTCTATTAAAATTAGATACCAACACATTCTAAAGTGAAAAAATCAATTGTTTAAAATAATTTTTCGTTGTGGGTTCAGTGAATGGATTTTGGCAAATAACGATACGAAGGTTGCTACTGAAAAAATATGGGATGAAATAGATGAGATCTTGAAGAGATTAAATGAAACCACTATAAGAAACGATAAATCTACAAACGAGAGTGATAACATAACGAAAATACTGGAATCTATTTCTAAACTCAACCTTAATTACAGTGGTAAATTTTGTTTAATAGATATTCAATACGTTATGATTTTATTTATTTTTTAAGCATTTAACTGCTAGATGTTTAAATCTAAAGAAAAGTTTACTAGAAAAAAATCCACGCGGACCAGGCAGCGGACGGGACTCGAACCCGCATCCTTCGCTATTCGGGCGAATGCACTGACCATTATGCTACCACGGCCCTATTAGCCGCGTCGAAATTTTCCTAGCCTTAAGCTGCAAGGCAGCGCCATCTCTTCGCATTGTAGGTAACCCACAATGTCAAATGAATACTTTTTCAAGTATTAAACATTTGAAAGAAGAAATAGCAATATAGTATAATATAATAATAACAATATAATATAAATAATAGAGAGTTTTACCAACAAATAAAACTTACCTATTATTTTTTCTTCAATATCCGGAATCCATCTTGAGTCAAGCACCTGTCTTTCTACCGTTTAAATCAGCGTTTCCGGTTCCTCTCCGATTGTGGCGCCCTCTATGTCGTGACTCGGAACTTACTTTGCCGCGCACCGGGTGATGTCCGCCATTATAGGTCTCATGATGCGCCCAAGTAGCACTTACCTGGATTCCGGATATTGAAGAAAAAATAATAGGTAAGTTTTATTTGTTGGTAAAACTCTCTATTATTTGTTTCGTATCAATATCCGGAATCCATCTTGAGTGATTTGTTTGTTATCACCTGGTGCGAGAGGCTATAAACGCTATAATGTGTAGATGCAGATTAAAATAAAACAGGTATGATGTGAAAAGAAAAAACATATCAACTTTTGTATAAGTATTCATCATGTTTTTATGTAACAACATAAATAATTAACAACAACTAATTCACTTCGCGGCTTCAAAATAATTGGATAATGACACAGATTTCTGAGGATCAAGAGAATCACGATTTTTTAGTTCCTTTTTATAGTAATTTTTGAAAGTATGAATCATTTTCCAATTTCCAGTTTCAAGTATTTGATCTATGGGAAAATTTTCTATAAAATTAAGGGACGCCACAGCTGAACGCACAGACCTTGGAGTAGCTTCGATACCACTTTCTTTCAAAAGCGATTTTACCCAACCGCCTATCACTGTTCTGGATGCAGGCTTTATTTCACCTCTAGGAGTGATAAACAAACTATCAAATTTTTTACGACATTCTTGAGAAATTTTTAGTAATTGTTGAATCCAAAATACAGAATTTAATTTATGGGTAGAATGCTGTTTAAGCCTCCATCCAGACTGTCTATGATCGGAAGTGTCGGTTTTTGAACCAAAGGCAGGCCATAGTAAAATGCTTCTATCATTAATTATTAAATTGTTAACACCTATGCGTAGCAATGTAAGATCGTGAACTCTACGTCCAGAGGCTAGTAATAACAATGTGGCAGTGTGCCTTGAAACATGATATAGATTATTTTCATCAAAACTATATGAACATAGGTAATCTATCAACAGTTTAGGATTTCAAATAGGTGGTTTAACTGGTTTCTCTCTTGCTACTGATATGGCCTTCACCATATGTTTTACAAAGAAGTTAGAAGATAAATCTATTCTAGAGGTTAAATGTGTAAAGGTGGCAATCACAGATTTATGAACTAAAATGGTTCTATAAGCTAGACCAATGTCACAATGTAAGTGTGCTAAATAACGAGCGACCTGGTCTGCAGTTGGGTATTTGTAATCAACTGAATGAGCCTCACACCAGTTTTTCCATCGTCTCCACGCCGGTCTATAGGTGTTGAGGGTAGAGCCTCTCCAACTCGACATAAGCAGAGCTTGTTCTTCAGCAGTCCACTCTGTCAGCATGTCTTGCCACCCAGAATCAGCCATGCCTCCAATTGCAGGTCCTGTACTTCTGGTGGGTGGGTGCCCGTCCTCGTGTCTAAAAGGACTTGCGCTAGGTCTGGAATCAGAAAGGGAGGTTGTAGTGCCCGTCGTTGAACATCGGCTCGCCAATACACTTTGTTCCAATTCGGTGCGATTAAGATATATTGACCGCTGGCTTGGTTCAGGTGGCTGAGGACTCTGGGGATGAGATTCGGCGGCGGGAACAGCCACGCTAAGTGGTAATGCCACTGGTGACGGAAGGCGTTGTGATATTCCGCTTCCTGATCGCTCAAATCTATCGACACGTACCTCGATGCTACATGTGCTGTTCTGGAGGCAAACAGATCTATCTCCGGCGTGCCCCACATTTGAAAAAGTCTCATTGTAGCTGTTTCTAACAGGTGCCATTCGGGTTGGACTTTTCGGCGAGACAAGGCGTCGACTTCCGTGTTGAATCTGCCTGGGAAATACTGAGCTACTATATGTATATTCAAATTGTCTAGAGTCTGAATCAGAAGCTGTGTTTGTTTTAAAAGTTTCCTTGATTTTGTACCGCCTTCTTTGTTTATGTAAGACACTACCGTTTTGTTGTCTGTCTGGAGAAGCACTTGAGCATCTTGAAGCTGAAGGGCTTGATGCTGGATAGCTGCATGAACAGCAAACATTTCTTTTTGGTTTGCGTGCCACGTAAGCTGTTGTGGTGCCCAATTCCCCTCGATACTTAAGTCGTCTAACTGCGCGCCCCATCCTATGTCGGATGCGTCCGTCGTTAACAAATGGGTTATCGCTTTTGGATGTACAGGTGTGAAACTTCCTATCGCTTTGTACCACCATTCCATCTCCTGTCGGACTTCCTGTGGAATGCTTATCTGACGAAACGGGTATTTTTTGGGTAATTGACGATTGAAGTATTGCAGGGTGCGACAATGAAGCCGTCCCCTTCTGGTTACAAATGAGGCAAAGTTGAGTCTTCCCATCAAGGTCTGGTATTGTCTGAGAGACCATTTGCCCTTCACAAGCTGCTGTCGAAGTGCTTTGCGTAGCGATAGGCACTTCTGCTCCGACAGGGACTTTGCGTTGCGTTTTGTGCCCCATGTGATGCCGAGGAACTCGAGGCATTGAGTCGGAGCTAAGACAGACTTGTCGTAGTTGACCACCCATCCGAGCGTTTGCATGGTTCTTACCGTGTACGCTATGTCCTCCTGCAATTGCTGCTGGGATTGATTTGCCAGAAGGAAATCGTCCAAATAAACCACGCACCTTATTCCATGACTCCGCAGGAATTCTGCCACCCAGTTGGTGATTGAAGCAAACGTTTTCGGCGCCGATGAAAGGCCAAACGGTAAACATGTCATTTGCAGCAGTTGGTGCTGATGAGGATTGTGATGATAGTTGAGTCTCAGGAATCTGCGATGCTGTTGAGCAATTGGCACGTGAAAGTACGCTAGGCTTAGGTCTAGTTTCGCAAGCCAGTCCTGATCCTGCAGAAAATCCGGTACACGGAAATGATTGAAGAGTCGAAATGGTTTTGCAAGTACGAACTGATTTAACCTTCTGAGGTTGAAGATAGGTCGAAAGGTTCTGTCCGACTTGGTTACTAGAAAGAACGTTGACAAGTAGCTGGGACTCACTTCCGCTTCTTATAAGGCGCCTGCTTCTAACATGGATTGGATCTGTGCAGACATCTGGTAAGAAGTTTTGGTTCTGTAACATTTCATAACTGTTAAGCTCGGAAATATTAGCGGCGGCCTCAGTATGAAAGGTATGCGAACACCGTTTAATAGCTGACAATTTTTTTCTGGTGCTCCTAAGTTGCTACAAGCATACTGAAATCGAAAGAGACAGCCGCCTCGAAAGCGCTTCGAGTCATTCGTGACGTCTATCTTTAAAGGAAGGTCGGTTTTGGTGTTTCTTGACCTTTTGCTTGTCGCCAGTGTTAGGTTTGTTTCTTGACTGGCGGGTTGGACGAGGCGCATGTTTACCTCTCTTTGCGGAATAATTCCCACGAAAAAACGTATCGTCATTCTGCTTGCTGGTCGATGGTTTAGGATTCTGGTAAACTGAATCCTTTGCTTGGACCCTAACAGTTGGTTTTGGGGACGAAAACTTCTCAATCCCCCCCATTTTGTGAAGGTAGCTATGAAGTAACTCTTCATCAAAAAGTGACGTTGAACTAGGGGGGTTTTTGTAAATAACATCACGGTGATACTCCTCGGATATGTGACGTAACAAGGTATCCCGACGAGTAGAAATAAGATCCGCTCGCCTTCCGCAAACTATTTGTAATAGGGGTCGCAATACCGAATCATTTCAGTAAAACCGGTATTTTCGGTATTGGCTCTAGACCAATACCGATAATCCGGTATTTTCGATATTTCCGGGATTAAGCTTAAGTTAGCAAAATATATTAAAGTTAGTTTGCGCAGGAATAGTAAGTAGGTACCTACCCTAAATGAATTTATCTTCTAAATAAAACGAAATACTCATTGACTCAAGGTTTATTGTTTCATATGTTGGTAATCAATCAGTTCCAGGCTTCTAGGAGCGTCCTCGGCTTCCTGAGGATTGATGCCCGGTATTCTGCAACGCTCATGCATTCCAGGATCACATGAGCGGTCGTTTAATCTACTTTCAGACATCCTCTGCACAGAGAAGTATCCGTAACGCGTATGGTTCGTTGCCGCACCCATGTACGGAACTGATTGAAAGATAAGTGGCGCAGGGCCTTCCACTCTCTGTGATGATCCCCTTCTAGCTAGTTCGTCGGCTGCGTCATTACCCACAGAACCGCTATGTCCCTTGATCCATTGGAGGATAACCTTGATATCCGTTGCTATGTACTCCAATGCTAGGTGACATTCGTATAATAGCCCAGAAGTTTTGCTGTTGCTATCTAGGGCTCTTAGGACAGTCATACTATTAGATAATATACGTATCTTGTAGTTTTTGACTTTCCTATTCATAACAGCGGTGGCCCTGATTAATGGCTATACATTCCCATTGGAATATTGAGCTGTGATTACCCAGTGCTGTTGATATATGAATGTTAAGGTCCAGTGAAAAGACTCCTGCGCCTGATCCGAATCCTGGTATTTTGGATGCATCAGTGTAAATGCGTAGTTCGTCTGTGCCCGACCAGTCCTTGTTGGTTTCTAGTAGTTCTATTTGATATCTTCTATCAAATGTAAGAGTAGTCGAGATTTCATCACAGCGAGCTGTTACCAGAGGTTGGTATTGTATAGCCCTTTCCAAAATTTTGGAGTGAGGTCCCTGGTTTCCCGTCCACAAGCCCAGATGATACATTCTTAGCGCTGCCGTAGTTGTATAAACAGGCGGGAGGTCAAGCGCTATTTCTAGGGCATTTGTGCGTGTGGATTTTTATGCAGCCTGTTATAACAGAGCATGCTAGTCTTTGAAAACGCTGAAGTTTATTAATTGCGGTGTTGAGTTCGATTCTAGGCCACCAAACTATTGCACTGTAGGTGATGAGTGGTCTGATTATGGTTGTGTAAAGCCATTTTGTGATTTTTGGTGCAAGACCTCAGGTTATACTAAGTAGAATTTTGCATTGCCAAAACGTGATACAGGCTTTGTTTATCTTTTGGTCTAAGTGGCTGTTCTATGTTAGCTTATGATCAAGAACTATGCCTAGATATTTGACCTCGCTTGACATAGACAGTTCGGTATTAAATAACTTGGGCAATTTAACCGTATCCAAGATACATTTTTTCGTGAACATTACCATCTCTGTTTTAGTTTACATCAGGTTTAGTACACCAGGCTTCGACTATCTTGAGAGCGTTACTTATTAAGTTGCACAGCACATTCTGGAATGGCCCGCTTATGAGGATAACTAGGACGTCCGCATAGCCAACTGTGTAGTAGTTGCGTTGATTGAGTTGGCAAATTAATTCGTTAACCACAATGTTCCACGGGAGAGGAGAGTGGGCAACCCCGTGCCACTACAGCTCTCTTCGTGGTGTTCACAGTCACTTGTATTGCTCTGTATTTTAGCATGTTATTGATCCACCCCGCAGTCGTGGGGTCAACTCCATGTCTGACAAGTGCTTGGCAGATGCTGGTAAAGTTTGTTTTATCAAAGGCGCCTTCAATGTCAATGAAGACTCCGAGCGTTGATTGTTTTGGTGATAATCCATGTTCTATTCGGACTACTACTATGTCTGACTACGTTGTGTAATGCGGATTCGGTGGATTTGCCCATGCTGTAGGGGTGTTGAATTGCATGAAGTGGTACACGCTTTAGAGCATCATCTCTCAAGTTCCTGTCACACATTCTCTCCAGCACCTTTAGAAGGAATGATGTGAGACTTATCGGTCTGAATGCTTTAGGTTGCGTGAAGTCACTTTTGCCTGGTTTGGGTATGAATATAACTTTAACCTCTCTTCACTTAGTGGGTATGTACCGATAGGCAAGATATCCTGTGTAAATTCGCAGTAGATGCTCGAGTATCGATTCTTCGCACCATTGCAGTAGGCCCGGAAAGATGCCATCCAGTCCAGCTGCTTTAAAAGGGAGGAAGCTTTTGATGGCCCAAGTTAATTTGTTGAGTTTAATGATTTGCGTGCAGTTGTCCAGTCAGCTAAATCCGGAACCGCGGATATCTCATCATCCCATTCTTGGTTATCTTTAGTGTTACAGCCTGGGAAGTGAGTTAAACTTACTCACTTGCACCGTTCGCGCCACGACATTGGCTCGTTCGCTAATCATTGCGCGGGACAGAGAGCGGGAAGTTCGTCTTGTCTTAAGGTGAACGAACTCGCGCGCGCGCGTATTTTGAATTAAATGGCAAGTAACTTTTTCTATTTGTATTTGTAATTTATTTATTTTACTAAAACCGAATATACCGAATATTTCGTTTTTTGTGAAATGAATACCGGTATAAATTAGACCTAAATTTGACCCGGTATTCCGGTATTTTCGAAATTCGGTATCCCGGTTTGCGACCCCTAATTTGTAACAAGTCATCGGTCACTTTACTAAACGCGGCTTCTTTCGAAAACGTTGTTTGTATTTTTTCAAATATCGAATCAGGCGTTAATGCCTCTTTAGAACTGTATGTCCAATCGACTAGCGTTTGTAATAATCTTTGTAATTCTTCTTTTTGAGTAAGCAAGGCATTAGTCAAACCAGCAAATGACCGCTCTAATAAATATGAACGTGGGTCGTCCTTTAACATTTGACTTTCGAAACGCTTAAGTTCATCATTAACAGTTAGTTCAACGAAACCGGGGGTAGTCAAATATTTCTTTTGAGCATCGGTAAAACGAATAGCATACCAATCATCATACTTAAAATGCTGTAATTCAGCCAATTTTTTCAAGAAACCTTCATTTGACTTTGGATAAACAAGATCTTTTATAGTAGTACTCACATCCGATAAAATGTTAAGCTTATAATTATTGTCCGACTCGGGGCGTCGTAAAATAACTTCATTTGTATACGATATCAGTAACGACTGAATTTTCTACATTTGAAACCGATTTATTAAGTGTATGTGGAATAGCAGTTGAATTTTCAATATTTGAATTCAATTGTTTATTTTCTATGTTTGCAGTTATAAGATTTGTCAAAACAGAAACTTGTTGTGATAAAAATGCAAAATGTGCGTAACTCACAGTTGGCGAATCTTTCCTTGCCTTATTACTCGAAGGGTTGATGGAGAACGCACTCGTTTCCGGGGGTTAGATTTTTCAGCAACACTTTCTGAAAACGCTTTTTCACTTTCCCTATCTTGGTTCTCCATTATAAATATAGGAAAAGAAACCGAGTTATTTAAATAACGATAATAAATTAACACTTTTTCGCGTGAATTTTATCAAAATTCTATGCTGACTTGTATACGGCGCGAAAAACAACGCTATAATGGCGGACATCACCCGGTGCGCGGCAAAGTAAGTTCCGAGTCACGACATAGAGGGCTCCACAATCGGAGAGGAACCGGAAACGCTGATTTAAACGGTAGAAAGACAGGTGCTTGACTCAAGATGGATTCCGGATATTGATACGAAACAAATAATAATAGCAATATAGTATAATATAGTCATAACTATAATTGCTATTTCTTCTTTCAAATGTTTAATACTTGAAAAAGTATTCATTTGACATTGTGGGTTACCTACAATGCGAAGAGATGGCGCTGCCTTGCAGCTTAAGGCTAGGAAAATTTCGACGCGGCTAATAGGGCCGTGGTAACATAATGGTCAGTGCATTCGCCCGGATAGCGAAGGATGCGGGTTCGAGTCCCGTCCGCTGCCTGGTCCACGTGGATTTTTTTCTAGTAAACTATTCAATACGTTTTATATTCGATTGATAGAGTTGCTGTCTGTGCCTCGGGTTCGATTCCTAGTTAAATGACATCCGCGCGTTTGAAAATGTGTGTGAAATTTTATTAAAGGACAATATTTTGGGTAAAACATAAATTGAAAACAAATTCTTATTATTTACATACACTTTTAATTAATTATACCTTAACACAACATAAAAGTACCTACTTTTGGCTTTATCAAAGTATTAACAATTTAAATTTAATTATTACCTACTTTCTTGTTCTAATGAAAAACTATCGTTTTGTTTGTGCATTACAGCATATTTACATCCTGATTGGAATACAAATGGCAATAATATTAATTATACAAGAAATGTTGCAAATAAATATGATTTTGGGTTATTTACAAGAAAAAGTTTACCACATCTAACTTTAGCGTATGTATGTTATAATTATGTGAACTATTTAATCAAATATTCTATACTAAATTTGAGTATACACAACAATCATTTGCGAAAAAATTTGTTGATGTTTCGTAAATTGTTGTTTATTTAATGAAAATTAAACATTTAATTTCCCCTTAAAAAAATCATCAACGAAGGCACTTTTTAGGACTCGAAATATTCACCAAACATTGAAATCTACGCTGTTCTTCAATTTGGCAACCGAGTCTTCTGCATCATCAACTGTTATCAGTAAAACTAGATTTAACTTAAAGTTGGCTAAAAATGTATCAGATATGACCACAGAACTTATTAAGGAAACAGTGGAAAATATTATGAGCAATATAACATATCATCATTTGATAAGTAACAATAGTATTAATGACAGCTTAGATCACTTAAGTCAAACACAGAACACGGGTAAAAATGATTCTTATTTAGTTTGTACTTACATCGTAAGAGCAATATTGTAGTTACTTTATATAATATTTTTATTCCCAGCACTGAATTGTTAGATTTTCATATCTAAAGAATATTTTCTAAAAAAAACTCTGCAGTGCTATTCTGTAAGAACAAACTCGTTTTTTACCTCGGAATCCGAGGTGTGATTTAAAATTAGGACACGAATTTCAAATAAATTTCAAATCACACCTTCGAATACCGCGGTGAAAAGTGAGTTTGTTCTTACAGAATTTGCACTGCTGGGCCGAATTAAATATTAACAAGTAAAAATTTGTAATGAAAATATACCATTCGATAAAAATATATTCTATCTTTATTTAGCTAACGTACAACTAACTCCGAGTTTCAATAGCACAATGGCTAGTGTGTCTACGCAAACCCATATTGAAGAAAATACTAATATAACAACACCTTTTGGTATAAATTCTTCAAGGTAAGTTTATATAAACGATAAAGCCTCAACCCCATAGGCGCGTTATTATTGGTCGATGATATCGAATGCATTATCAGGTACTATCGATACCAATACGTAAGTAAGATGAATTATCGCAATTATGCATCCAAATTTGTTATTGAACGATAATAACGTGACTATTGGGGGGCGGGGAGTTGCTTGTTCTTAGAATACAAAAAAATATCCAAAATTGATCATTTTCTTATCAGTAGTTATGAATCCAACTCTCTTACTGAGCTACCTGAACGGAAGATTTTAAAATTATTGAAACTCTAAGAACAAACTCACTTTTTCACCGCAGTATTTGCCGGTGTGATTCGATATATCAAATTCTTGTTCTAATTATAAATCACACCTTAGATTCGGAAAAGTGAGTTTTTTTCTTACAGAATAGCACTTCTGATCCGGAACTTATGTAGATAATGCTATTTGAATTTAATTACTTTCATGATTCTTTTTTAAATATTTGTAGTTACTGTTCAATTTTATTATTTCCTTTTTTTAAGGACTACTTTGTCTGGTACTATGGTAGATCATGAATCATGGGAGAACGTAGTCCAAGCTGCCCCGGTGATGGCTGTGCGCCTCAACCAAACTGTCACTGTTAGACCGAAAAGTAACGACAAGGAAAATATTACACATATCTTGAACTACACCACCGCTACGTATGTTACATTACAATAATTACCGGTATAGGCACTAAAACCTTTTAGAGTATGTCAAACCAATGAATCCACGATAATGGTAACTTATTCTTGGAGTCTGGAGTATTTGATAACTTATTTATCTATAAACACATATTTTTTTGGATAAATATTATTGCGTTTTTAAAAAAGGGTTAAATATATAAAAAACCTAGACAAGTTTCAATTAAAATATTTTTTACCACGAGATCATTGAATAATACAGACTTTAGTGCTATCTCGGCGGGCGTTTGTGTAAGGCAATGTTAATGATACTCAAAGCTTTCTCGGATACTTTCTTATGTTAAAGGGGTGGCTAACAAGTATTTGGCCCGTCTGATAGTAAGCGGCCACTATAAACGCTTGCCTTACCAAAAATATCACTATCACCGTTGCCTACCCTGACCCAATCTTCTATCCTTTGGATCGCTAGAACATTACTCTTCACAACACCACCAAAAGGAAGTGTAATTTTACTGTCATCTGTAATCTGTAAGGTGGAGGTTACTTACGCAGACGGGCGCTCCAATTTGAGCGGGAAAATCCATTATATTCTACCTGCTTCTCTTATATAATGGAAGTGCAAAGGATTCGTTTCTCGCTCAAATTTTAAACGACTCCAAATAAAGAAGGTACTGTAGAGGCTTAACCTAAAGGGAAGCCCTGGGGGGCATACTCACACGATAGTAAACAACTAATTAGATTTTAGTATTTTATTTATTGTAATTAAAGGCGAATATAATAATTATAGCTTATACGGTTATTTAACCGTATGTTCTGGTGCCTGAATTATATCTCCTGGAATTTTCTATCAAAATACAGAAGATTCCCAATTTCAAATGTTTAAAATAATGATATTAACTTTTTAATATAACTGCCAGCCGTAGGCATTGTATAAACAAAGAGTTTACACAAGCGAAGAGGCCGTAACGCAACGGGCGTTAAGGCACGTTAAGGCACGTTACGGCAGTACATACTCAATTGAACAGTGTTTTCAATATCTACTGCGACTTTACAACTGAATTTCCAGTAACATGCGGAAAAAACGTAAAATACTACCGATTCCTATAGAGGATGCGCGTCCACACAAAGTGCACACACGGGATCCGAACGAAACCACACAACCGCCTGTGTTCTCCGAGGCCGATTTATCGCAACTTTTCGAGCTACAGGATGACGAGGTAGGTTTATATATTTACCTAGTCTAGCAATAAGAAAGGTTTTGAAAAATTCCACCCTTAAAGTTATGGAATAATAGAGAGAATTCGGTATGATGAGTGATAATTTATTTAGCACACATGCGAGACTTTAATAACAATAATGACACATGTAATCAAATACATTAAACTACAACCTCTTTGTGTGTATGTTTTTATTTTTTAAACATTTAACTGCTACATGTTTAAATCTAAAGGAAAGTTTACTAGAAAAAATCCATGCGGACCAGGCAGCAGACGGGACTCTAACCCGCACCTTTCACTATCCGGGCGAATGTACTGACCATTATTCTACCGCGGCCCAGACGGCCGTGTTGAATTTTCCCTAGCCTTAGGCTGCAAGGTAGCACCATCTCTTCACACTGTAGATAACCCACAATGTCGAATGTTTAATACCTTTACTAGTATTAAACATTTAAAAGAAGAAATAGTATGCTGTTTTATGTTTATGCTTTTTGCCCTTAATTGACGATTTCGTCATAAGTTAAGGCTTCATTGCTAGTGTGCCTTGCGATAATTAAAGGATTCTGAGAGCGCTTTTTAACGAGAAAGTTTCCCGCCGGGTCTAGGCACGGTTATAAATCTTGTCTACGTCCGGATAGTCAGTTAGGTAAGCCACACTATGGAGATTCGTTAACGACACCGGCTTTAGCGACGGTTCGCTGTCGGTACAAAGCTAGAAACCGTATTCATGAACAAGCTTAGTCACTACCGGTCCGGGTAGAAACCGTGCCTGGACCCAGCGGAAAACCAGTGACATCAAGCGCCCTAACGGTTTCTTAAACATCCACATCTTTCAAATTTAGAAGTTATGGCAGCGCAAAGAGATACTCATAAATACATACCTACGTGAACTCTGAAAACATTACACTCCTTTTTTGACTGTTACTGACTTGACTACTTTGACTGGTAAAACTGTGTGCGTAATATGGGTTGTGTGTATTATACAAATCATGTTCTAATTCCACAGCTCCATGACCGCGTAGCACTTAGGTACTTGCGTCAATACGTGGGGCCTTCACTTTTCAACATTTGTGACTTTTCCGAGCCAAAAGCGCGCCACATATTCTTGTTCAACTCCTCCAGGATCGCGATGTCTATTGGCAATTTTACGGTAAGAATAAAATAATATAGTTTTTTACTTAATCACGCAAAATCTACTGAACGGATTTGGATGAAATTTGATAGGCATATAGTTTATGAACTGGATTGAAACATGATGACTAGCTGACGGAATTTAAAAAAACTGATGGACGCGGACGAAGTCGCGGGCGGCCGCAAGTATATCTTATCTATAAAATTCTCGTGTCACAATGTTAGTTACCATACTCCTTCGAAAAGGCTTGCCCGATTTTCATGATATTTTATATGCACATTAATTAGGTCTGAGAATCGGCTACTACCCATTTTTCATACCTCTAAGTGATAAGGGTTGTCCACCCCTAAAATTTAATTTTTATTTGTTGAAAAATTTGGATTTATTATTTTTTTAATTGTGATATAAAAAAAACATAAAACCTAAATTTTCACCCTTCTATCACCAATCGCTATTTTTATTGCGGTACGAAGTTCACTGAGTCAGCTAGTAATATTATAAATGTAAAAGTTTGTATGTTTCTTACTCAATTAAGCAAAAATTACTGAACGGATTTGGATGAAATTTGGGGAACATATAGTTTATGACCTGGCTTGAGATATACTTTATTTTTTATATCGGAAAAGTGTCTTGTTCCTTAAGAGATTTCAAAAAACGAGATTAAACGCGGACGAAGTCGCGGACAGCCGCTAATGACGTAATAAATAAAGTAGCTATACTTATATTAAATTTCCATACAGCATAAAAATATAGTTAAAGCATTATAGGTAACAAGTCAGGTAGCCTTTGTTTTAGGAAAACTCCACTTCACCGAAGATCAAGTTATTAACATTAATCTCACTAGATTAATTGACGGTTTACCAGGGTTTACCACCGACATTCCGAAAATATAAGCTACACGTGTTTGAGTCGGTAGATTTGTATTTGTAAGTTGCGATGATAAGTGGGCCAAGACATATAACAAAACGATGAGTAGGTATTTTAGTACCTACCTATTTAAAAAGACGAGTGTGAGGAATGTTATAAGCAGAAAATTTACATAGGAGAGCAAAATATATAAAGAGCATGCACCTTTTGGTGGCGTTGTGTTTCTTTTAGAGAGAAGTCCATGAGGAGTACAATTTTGTGCCGGATAAGTCAATGTCGGGACAGGACACTACTTCTTCTAAGCTTCAAATGAGTTACGATAAGCTGTGCTATGCTTTCATTCTCTTATACAAATATGTGCTTACACTACTAATAATATAATTTTGAAAAGTGTGTATCAGTATTTGTTACTGAAAAACTACTGGATGTAATTTTGTAGGCTTATAGTTTTATAACCTTGACTGAAACATAGGATACTTATCCTGTGGAATTCTCAAAAAAACCTAAAGTTGACGCGGACGAAGTCGCGGACGGCGGCTTGTTTGTATTATACAGAGCATATGAGCATAAGGCTCACTTAAGTAATCACCGTTGCTCATAGACATCTGCAACACGAGCATTACAAATTAAAGTGACTTTTATGCACATCGTCGACCTTATGCCCCTACACAGGCGAGTTCTGGAATCCTGATTCACTCACTATTTAATGTGGTTGTTTGGCCAGACCCGCAGATAAAGTTTAGCCAAAAATCCACTAAGGACCCTTTCTCTTCTATCTTTTTTTTTATTTTTGTATAAAAGATTTGAGTGCTTTTAACCACAATCGCACTTGATGTTAAGCAGCGATATGGTCTTAGCTGGAGAACCCTATCTTATATGAATCGGGTAATACAGACGTGGGAAGGGAGTTTCATTCCCTAGAGGGTTGTGTGATAAAGGAGGATGCGAATTGTGAGGTGCACAGTGGAGGTTTGTCAACCACGTACAGATGAACACCCTGTTTCCAAATGATGCAAGTTAATTCATCATGCTATGTTTCAACAGCTACAAAGAATGACTGTGATGTTGACACCGGCAAGGACTTTAGTTAGTGGCAACGAAAAGTGTTCCAAGAGAAGCTTGGAATGTCAAGTGTTCGGGACGCGAGTGTGCATCGACAAAACCAATGCATGCGACGGCGTGCCCAACTGCGGCGCTTATGGTTGGTTTATGTGATTTTATATAAACATCATAAATATTAATCAATTTTTTTAGCAACTTACATTACATTTGTAGTACAATATAATGAAACGTATTACTAAAAATTACACACCAATAAAAAATATACTAGAACAATGAACCTATAACCAAAAACCTTAAAAAATATAATGTAGTAGCTAAAATACATTATTATATATTTTTAAGTTAGGTGCATGTAGCAATAGTCCCCTTAATCTTAAGTTTTAACCGCAAACGTTTGATAACAAACACGTAGGGATCCGTAAGAATTCACGGAATGGCAGCTTGCGTTTATTTTTCATTAAATATTATAGAGCTTTATAAATTAAGATTTTTTTAAATAACGTTAGGTTTGTACAGCTGACATCCTTTTGTTTTCTAATTAGAAAAAAGTTTAATAAGACTGTTCATTTAGTAACGATTTATTTATGGCTATTTTAGTAAAAAAACATACATTTCAAGAAATATTAATGTTTAATTCTGATCTGTTTAGAAATCATACATCATCTATTCTGACATAACTTTTTAAGATGACTGTCAACTTAACTTGATAGGTAGAAAAATGTTTTATTTATTTCTGGTTAAAGTCAAATTAACAACATTATATCAACTCCTCTTTATGGTTATTATTAAATTATTTTATAGGTAATTGTGTCCTTTTTGATCATTTAATTTATATTTTTGTAATTTTCTCTAGACATATACGATGAAGATAGACTGATGTGCGGAGCTGCTGTAGGCCTCAAGCATAATGTATACTTGGCTGCCGTCACATTTATAGCGGTTCTATTGACGATGCTCTATACTGTCCATTATTGGCTAAAGCGCTGTGTACCCAAAGTTTCCGAAGCATTCTTCATTTATACCGACAAAGCCGAGAATATGTTAGTAATACTAGTTAGTTTTATAAACTTATACGCTATTTTTAAGGTTCCGTACCCCAAAAGGAAAAAACAGAACCCTTATAGAATCGTTTTGTTGTCCGTCCGTCTGTCAAGATCGTTTTTCTCAGGAACGCGTGGAAGTATCAAACTAAAATTCATATCTAATACTCAGATCTACCGTCCCTTGGAGCTGTGAAAAATCAAACTTCTAAGCCAAAGCAATCAAAAGATACAGCCTTTTATGCCGCAAATTTCTGCTAATTTTCGATACTCGCAAGGGAATCAAAACCTACAGAGTACTTCCCGTGAACTTAGAATCTTGAATTTTGGTACGAAGTAACGTCTTATAGTACAGATAATGAAAAAACTTTGAAATCCGTAAATTTTTAGTTACATCATATAATAAAAAATATTTTTTAATAATTATTAAAATATACCTACAGATTTGTACGGAACTCTCGGTGCGCGAGTCCGACTCGCACTTGGACGGTTTTTAAAGTTAAAAAACGCATTGTTTTAGGTATTGGTGGTAGGTATTTGTATAAAATGTTAAATCGAAAAGGAATCTTTCTACAGTTTTTTTTTTTATCGCTGAATACTTTTATTCATGCTTTTAGGCTTTTATATATGCGTTCCGAGGAAAGTCTCTTTATATTTCTGCGAAAAAAATTAATTAACATAAAACATCATTAGAATTCTTTCTACACCCTGCATTAAATCGTTATTGTTGTATTGTTTTCATATTATTAGGTTGTCTTTATTTCAGACTGTATCTGGAAAGTGTAATGCGATCTCCCCATGATGTAGGCGATAATATTAAAACAATGTCCCATGAGCATTTATTTATGACTGATGATATATTATTCGATAAATCAACGAAAGTAACAGATAAAAACATCTTTACGAAAATATGGCTTGGTTGTGTTGGATTCATTACTTGTAAACACGGTAAAAATAAAACTACTCTAGAAGATATAGAAAAAACTATGAACCGAAAAATGTATTCGTTTACCGAATTAGAGTTGAGGACAATAGGGAATAAAGAAAAGGTAGATGTATCTGTGCAGACTGGAGATAGTTTGCAAATATCAAATAACGATTCTGTGGAATTGGAACTTTTTAAAGGAACACGACAACAAGATACTCGACATGTCATAAAACTTGAAATGCCATCGACCTCTTCTGATTTTGAGTCTCGTAAACACAGTATGGAACTGCAGATTTTAAAATTACTTAAAGGAAATAAATCAAAGTGTGAAGCATCTTGTCAGTGTTACGATATTCCAGAAGTAATAAGTGTTGATGAAATCAAATTACAGAGTCATATGTATATCGCTGAAAGAAACGATGAAGTAACGTCGTTGAAACCGGAAAAAGAAATAGAAGTTAACTCTCCAAGAGTTGAGACAACAAAGCATATCGTTAAACATTTGAGGTTTGATGAAGATCTTTTCACCATTCCAACTAGTGAAAACGAAGAGGACGATGAGAATATACACCATGACCCCCTTGTCCCCGTTGATAAAACTCATAAAAAAGTGCATGATACAGGCATGTCGGAGGGTGATGAAAAAGGCGCATGTAGAGAACACAAACGATTCTGGCATGCCAAAAGTAAGAAATCAAAGAAGAAAACTCATCTTGCACTACATTAAGATAGTAGGTAATTGTAGTGGACTATAAAAAGTTTAGTTATAATTAAATGCAAGTTTTATAGCTGTAGAATACGTGGAAGAGGGCCGTTCGGTTGTTACATCGCTATTTCCTAATTAAGACCAATTGTGCACCGGATGGACACGTGCGAAATGTAGTGTCTTTTCAACCACATTCCGTCATTGTGTTCATTTATACCTAATTTAGATTGTCAATTACGTGTTCTTTTAATAGTGTAAAAAATATTTTTTTGACTAGTATATTTTGCTTTTATGATCTGGAATTGAAGACGCTCAATTATTGAATAAAAGCATATAATACAAATATAACATTTGTCCATGACTTTTTCAGTAACTTGTAGGTCTAGGTAACTTTTAAATAAAGTTACTATGTATAATATTCTAGTGTTTTCTTATTTTAGTTACACGATAGAGCTCACTCGCAAAGCAAAACAAAATTATATAAAAGTAAACCAACACACCAACAAAGGTACGAACCGAAGCGTCTGTAGTAAAAAAACTGAAGGTACGTATTAAGGACCTAAAGTACGGTGTTTTGTCACTATTTTTTTAAATTTTAAATGTAAATTGAGTGTTTTTATATTGGTGAGCACGCATATGGCCTGTCTTATAGTAAGCAGCCACCATAACCTATAGACGCTTGGAATACCAAAAATATCAATCGCACAGTTGCTTACCCTGACCCAATCCCGTGAGCCTTGAACAAAACACTGCATAAGCAATAGCTACGATTGCTGAGCAAGCAAGCAAATTAGTTTCCTAAAGTTTACAGAAGACTGTAGCTTAATAACACTGCTTATTCTGTCAAATATAATAATTTGAATATGTAACTAAATAGTAAAATTTATAAGGCACAGAGAGAACAAAGCGTGAATTCCGTACCACATTGGAAATGGAATTTCTGTTAGTGAGTAAAATTCTAGAGCTCCGGTAAAATGAGAATAGAAGAAGTGACATATTTTACTGTGGCATCAGCTACATTCCCAATTATTATTTATTACAGTTAATAAACAAATAAAAATCGATCGAGTGGGTATTCATGAACCTCTTATATAAACATAGGTAACAATATGAGTTACTTTTATTGGCTCCAATGACATTTATCTTTGCTTTTATGTCAGCTCCAAAAAAGATAGATGTAAAAGTGTCAGACTAGAGTCGGGAGCCGGTGCGCGAGGTCATTTCAATTGAAATCAATTAAAGCAATTGAGTCCAATTGAGGACTCGGCAGATTCTGCGTCGCGCTCGTCGCTAGAGAGATTTTATGTGATGAAGCGCCTACGCTGCTGCTGTGTCACATGACTCACGTACATAATGTGACGCTACCTACTGAAAAATATCCAAGCGTCGGTATCTGAGGTCAAGTGGAAGTTTTGGACCAGTGTTCTGTTTATGTAGGTATATATACATATGTCGATTGTTTTGATGTAGAGATCCATTTTAAACGTAATATGATCACGAGTGAGCTAAATTTACCAATGAAATTTTTATATGACTGCAATAAACGAGTGTAATGTTTGCAGTTGTATCTATTTATGTGCGTTCTTTTATTCCACCTTCTAAATGTCTGAACATCTTGTCCAAGATGGTAATTTCGATAACTTATTTCAATGAAATAAGTTAGTCGTGATAGCGTCTGCATTAAATTAATAGTATCCCATACGAATTACATCATATTTTCAAGTAATAATTTGCGAAAAAAAGCGGTCTATAACCTCCTCCAGTATCCTATTTTTATCTCTACTTAAAACATTCAGCGGCTAAGGCGTACAGCGTAACCAACTCACTTTCCCACTTATAACGTATTAGTAGTACTTACACATAAAAAATACTTTTAACACATTTGCTCAAAAATGCATTTACGGAGTTGTCTGTTAATTTACAGTAAGTATAAAGCTTTATGGCATGTTGCATTGCAATTTGGCATGCAATTTTATAATATTAACCACCTCAAAAGTATAAATAAAATATTAAAAAAAAAGGATGCGTGTAACTTATGTACGCGCGTGAGAAGTTATACTTCTTTAGCATCATTAAAAATATTTTTTAATTGCATGCAAATAATTAATAATTACAATAAAATAATAAAAGGACTGGAAAAGGATAGTTAACACAGTCAATTAAGTTCAGTTTTAATTTGAAAAATTAAATAAATATTCAATTAAAATGACTACTGAATTTAAGTTATTAGTCCATATGTAATTAGCACTTGTAAGTAACTAAAACACGTTGTGTCTATATAGAAACTAGAAACATGTGGATAAATATTATAAATATGAAAACAGTGATCAGAGGCGACGAGCGTGCCAACATTGTTTTTGACAACGCGATCATCTTATGGAGCTCCGTGGATCGTTCAAAGTACCTTTCGAACAGATGTCTAATTACATTCATAACGCGCCCGCGGCCAACTTCATGATGTTACTATTGTGTTACAGTGGTGCGCGCGCATCTCGAAATTTCACTCACATGATTTTTTCATAACGCGCCCGCGGCCAACTTCATGCTGTTACTTTGGGTTACAGTGATGCGCGCGCATCTAAAAATTTCACTCTCATCATTTTTTCATAACGCGCCTAAAGAAGTATAACTTCAAAAAACGGAAAGGAAAAACCCTTCTTACAAGTAAAACGGATATGTTGTTTTTAATTCTAGTCTACCCCATTGAAGTCGGTGTCGTTGGAAAGGTATTGGAAAAATATATATTGAGAGTTTGTAATAGTTATTTATAATATTAGTGCGGTAAGTTGGTAAATTCTAATTCCGAACGAATGTCATACAACGTTTTTCAACAGTAGCGAGAAAACAGTGTAGAAACCTAATTTAAGTAATGAACAAACTTTTTCTAATAAGAAAATGGCTCGTATTTCCAAATGGCCTCACCCGCTGGTGGTGAACATTAGAACTACATCTTTTCTCTCTTTTTCTTTTTAGTATTAAAGTGAGATAAAGGTATAGATTTAAAGTGCTTCTAAGCTTTCCAGGTTCAATCGAAATAAATAAAAAGACCGTAAAATACACGCACGGCGCCCCATGTATAGGCGTAAACATTTTACCGCACGCTCCGTTGTATGGCCCGTAATTTTGAATTTTCGAACAATGTATACAAGCTAAAATTTTTCGATTAAGTGATTTTTTTTGCGTTTATTGATAGTGGCTTTGCTCTTGATCCCTATCCAGCTCACAACATTTCGATGCGTTATTGCGATATTTCGTCATACTTTTATTGCGTTGTTGTTATCGCAGCAGTGTGTAACTTTGTAGCCGTTCTCATATATAATTAACTAAAATCAGATACCGCAATAACGCATATGATATTGTCGACTGATGGGGGGAGAATTGAAATCCGCATTTTTGTTAGATTCAAGTGTACCCACCCTTTGACAGCGAAATGGTCGTTTCGTCGCACCACTCGCACCGTTGCCTACCCTGACCCAATCCCCTATCCCGTAGAGCCCTCCCTGGAGCCTTACATAAAAGTGCACTAAATTGTAAATCAATAGTACCTAACTATTAAATTTTAAGTCTCTTTTCTCAAAAGGGGAAAGGAGCTGATGATCTCCAAACCCCTGACCAGATCTTCATATTAATGGCTAAGAACAATCTCGAACATGTCAGCTTTTAAATGAAGAAAACCCGCATCCAAATCGGTCTATTTGTTTGAAGCTACAATGCCACAGATCAACGTTAAATTTAAGAAAAACAGGAGATCTGTTACATTGGAAGACCTGGCAACGCTGCCTCAGATAGAGACGTGAAACTTTTACAACGACGCGTTAACTAAGTTTCTAAATTGAACGTCACTGGACAGCAAAAAATCGGTTCACTTGTTACCTCGGAACCCTGATTTGATTTTCCCAAAAAGTATAAAACGTACAACTATTAAAGTTATACCTGCAGAAAGTGGGTTTCATGATGATTAAAATGAACGGAAACAAAGAAGAATCATTTTCCAATTGTTATAATCGATAGAAAAAAAACGTGGCAAGAAAACACGTCCCAGCAACCAACCAATCTTCATTCAATAAAAGAAACGTTAATCACAACTTTATTCAAATATTTGCGTTTAATCGTTAGCACTGTGTTTCCTGCTAGATTAGGCTTTTTCACAGACGCGGAGTTACATTGATTTACAGCTAGGTATGATCTCAAAACATAGCTGCAGTTTTTAGGCTTTGTATTGAATTCGCATACATGTGAAAGTTTGTAAGTTTATCTTTTGTGTGTTTGTATGTTTGTTACTCAATCAAATAATAACTACTGAACGGATTTGGATGAAATTTGGTATCCTCATAGTTTATTACCTAGACTGAGACATAGATACTTTTTATCCCGGATAAATTTAGGTCCCCGCGCGGGATCTCAAAAATCGGCGGCTGCTAGTTTGGTAATAATTTAGGCGGAGACTGCCAAGTGTAAAGTAAATCGCAAAGATGAATATAAAGAAGATCAACGATTCTAATCGCAAAAGCAACAACATTCTATACTTAAGGCAAAATGCCCGGTAGGAGATATTATACAGAAACTCCTGGTAATATATACTTACAGCAACCTGGCCAGAGAAACGCAAACAAAAGAAATTGATGCCTGTTTGAAGAGATAAATTTAATGGCTCAATATTATAACTACTTATTTCAGCAGAAATGGATAAAAAGTTGAGACTGCTTAAACGGTTTAGGGTATCTTTAATTTACTATCAAAAATATACAAAAATCTTAATCCCATTTAAACTGATTGATAAAACAGGCCCATAGCTATGTCGACGAGCTATTTTGGAACAAAGTGCGCAATACCAAACTTTATTCTTGTAGGGGTGAAGTCCGCATTATTAGTTACTTTTTCCACGGCTAAAAGTTTGCAGTTCTTTTTCTTGTAAATAGCCTGAGCAATTTAACTACATGTGAATACTCCAAACAATTAAAGAAAGGAATACTATCCGAAAGAAATGAAAGAGATCCATGCGAACGAAGTTGCGGGCACAG